TAAGGAAGGAAACTAATGCCTAAGATTATGATGTAAGATAGCATAAAATATTGGGATAGGGTAATAGATAAAACTTATACAAAACCTTATGATAATAAACCTTCATAAGTTGTAGGTAATTAGAATAATTCAAAAGTTACCCCAAAACTACATAAAGATTTTCTATTAGGATACAACAAAAACGATAACGAATGAGATAGACAAGTTAAAAAACAGTATAGGGGCCTATATAGGGGGTATGGGGATAGCCCTAGAACCAACCTTTTACTAATTTTTTGGGGGGGGGGGGGGAGAAGTCTTGGCTTGTTGTTGCAAGACCCCCCCCCCCCCCCCCCCCCCCCCCCTCCCCCCCTCCAGCATCACCAGCACCGCGCCACAGACTCCAACCAACAAGTTCACAAACTCAACTTCACCTCACCGCAAATCTTGCACACTGACACACTGATACGTTAACTTGACTTTTTCCACGTAACGGCTCGTGTGGCTTAGACCAAGACCTTGTTTGATTGAGAAAACTATGAGATCACTGGTATTTACGGTGTTTCTGCGTATGGGAAACAAAATTTTATGTGGTAGGTTGTTTATAAACACCTGGCCTTGTTTATAAACAAAAGAGTTGTCCATAAACACAGGGTTTGCTTGTGTGGAATATTGTGCATATATATATATATGTATGCCTGTCTTCACGTGTAAACACAAGTGCTGTTGCTACTGAGCTCAGAGGTCCAATCTTTGCCCCCTTTATAACCTTAGAGGAACAGAGGGATATGAAGGGTTGATTGTATGTCAAACCAGAAAATTTCTGACACAGATACTTGTGGATTTGGAGGCCATGCAAGATCATGCAACGGCCTGGACCACAGTAGAACTTTTCATTCCCCGAGCGAGGCTTCAGCGGCAGCGGCCCGATAAAACCAGATGTCCGGATTCAGAATTCATACTGATCCAGATGCTCGCTATTTTGGATTGTAGACTGTGGATGCCCAGAGCGAAGGTACCTATAGCAGCCAGCAGGACATGAACATGCGCAAACAGGGTTCGAGTCATCTTCGACAAGTACCAGGCTTGTCAACCACAGGCAGCTTTTCATCATTCCTTGGCTCCCTGACAGTCACACATGCTAATGCATACATTGAACTCACTCATATTTGTTGACATGCAAAAACACATTTCAAGCACTGACCTAAACACTTATTTCGATTCCTGTGCACTTTGCCAAATAAGTACATTAGTTCAATACGTACCGGCTCTCCAACAACCGAACGACACTGCATGCCAAAGCAGATGATGCGTTGGTTCAGGTGCTGGGTGGAGTGGCTTGATCGGATGAAGAGTCTTGCAGGGATAATAAAGGCATGCCGCTCCGTGTCCAACATGTCGAGTCTATGTGGCCTATCCCAAGACTTGCTTTGATGAAGTACAGAATACACGGTATTTACGGTGTTTCCTGCCTGTGATAGTTGTTGTGGGAAAACTTTCAATACGTAGCCAGTCAATGCTGCGCTGTCGAACCCGTTGACGTCTGACTATACAATACTACATGTACACAGGCCAAATCTGACCTTGAATACATTAAACCCAGGAAATAGAAGACGGGACTTTGTGTTGTAATGCTACCCTTTAAGTGCTTGGAGTTGTTAGAATGTAAATCTGATACAAAAGGTGGGTCTGCAAAAACCCAGGCCCCACAGCAACCTGCTCTCTATATATACATATATGGGCATGTATCTGTATATACACACAAGTGTATACCTATATCTTGTTGCGTGCCTATACACCATTGCTATCTGCCTGCTGTTTCTTGTTACATTAGCTTGCATCATTTCTATCTGTTGCTATGGTGCTGATTAACATCAGTCTATAGCTCTTGCTGATGCCGATACGATTCCGAGCATGGGTAGTATTAGCATCGCTGTCGCTGTCTCTATCTAGTTCTCAAAAAATCTACCTGTGATTAGCGCTACCATTAGTACATTTTAATACTGTTATTGCTACTAGTCACCATAACTGCTACGATAACTGTTGTTACGAGTGTTGTTCTTATCATCATTGTCATTATTAGAATTGTTGTTATCTTTGTTGTTCTTCTTGGTGTTACGAGTAGTATTACGATTCACCGTCGCATCTCAGTCGCATTACCGTTGCCAGTGTGATTGTTAAGATTATATCACGAAAATACTGCTATCAGGTTTTAAAATCATGATCATCATTCTTGAAAAAACGGATTAATAAAATCGTTGCCATCGCCGACTACCTTATTATTACCGTTGATGGTGTTATCGTTACTGTCGCTAACTTTTTTGTCTTGTGAGATTCACTAATACTAGTGTACACATATACGACCTCAGCTGGAACCTGCTCCAAAGCCCAGTTTGCAGGATCCGCCTGTCCTTCAAGCGCGGTTCCGCTCGAGACACCCGCCGCATGCTCCTGAGAAGAAAGGGTTTTCTGATTTATCTTTATTAGGGCTGGCCAGGGGGATGCAATGGTTTGAGGCCTAGTTTTCGGCTCGCCTGCTTTGCAACATCTAAGCCCTGCCCTCCTCACCTAGTCTCTTTTGGAGACTTCTCCTTCGCCCTACGTCCGCCTGTGCCTGAGCAGTGAACCTTGAGGATAGGTAAAATGATTTGCTGGTCTAAATGGAAACTTTTGAAGCCAAAATCCGACAAACCCTGCCGGCCCTGAAAAGACAAACAAACTACCGGTCCTCAAGCCGTTACGAACCCTCCAAAACCTCGTACACCCTGATTGCTCTAACCATCGTTGAAAAAGGAAGGTTCGTTTCAGGGTTCCTGGAGGGCTACTCTAAAAAGAGCTTATACCTAAGGTCGCCCCTTATCAGAAACCCTCAACCTCAAATCCCAAACGCATTCATTCACACAGAATGGGGGGAGTCCCGATCTAAGAGCTTAAAGGTGACAAACGAGTCCGATGCGTACATATCACCAAAGCGCGGAAAAGAGGTGAAAAAAGACAAAAGGCACGGGGAGGGTGCTCAACACAAGGCACCAGGATGAATCCTAAACCCCAGATCATAAACTCTAAACCGGAAACCCTAAACGCTAAACCCTCAATGAAAAAGCTGCGAGGAGGTCCTCAGGAGTTGCTTGGGTGCGAAGCAATCGCGAAGGGCGCCCAACGTCTGGGCCTGATTGAAACAGGATTCAAAGTTTCCGGTGTCGAGTTGAAGCTTGGGCTGCTTACACTATATGGGGGCCATAGTATGTAGAAAAAGGCTCGGGCTGGATTTCAGACTATATTGTGATAATAGGAACTATAAGTAAGTATAACGAAATACTACAATTCTTCAGACTCCTATATCGACATTTGTGCGCTCTGGGTTTAGGGTACTCGGTTTAGGGATCACGACTTAGGGATCGGAGCTTGCGGTTAAGGGTTTGGGCTGCGAGGTTCAAGGATTTTAAGTATCCGTGCCTGGGCTCTTGGTGCCTAAACCCTTAACCCTAAAGGCCCTAAACCCCAACCGTGATACCGTTTAGATGATAGCAAGCTTCTTTTGCTCGCAGAGATACTGAAGCATGGAAGCACCTTCCCACGAGTTGCCCACACACACACACACAAACACACACACACACACACACACATACGTACGTTTAAAGTTTTGCTTTACAAGTTCCTTTTGAGGGCTACTACAAGGGATACTATAGCCGCTGCAAAACACTGGGGTTTGAGGGTTTCGTTCAGGGCTGAGGGTTGTTTCGGGCTTAGCGTCCAGGATTTCGGGCTTACGACTGACTTCGTTCTGAGAACTCGCCGCACTTGGGAGAACCCCGCAGATGTCAGGTCGCAGACTGGTATAGAGGGAGAGGGCGAGACAGCGGGAGAGAGAGAGACACTACAACCAGCGGCAAGGAAGTGCAGTATGGGTCTGCGGGGGTTTAGGATTTATCCTGTTTGAGATCTTTTGGCTTGTTCTTCTGGGTTTGGGGTGTGGGGGGCTGCAGTGCTCTGACTTCATTAAGCTTACAACCCTAAACCCTAAACCCTGCCGGGCTTTAGCGGACTGAGTGTTCCAGGCTTCCACAGCCATTTAGGGTTCAGATGTTGCTGGTCTATAGGGGGTGATTCCGCGCACTCCGTGTCCCTTATTGGGCTTTTGCGCTTACTTAGGTTCTACATTAGCGTCCTTACTTTCTCAAACTCCCATGTTGGGTGCCGATTTGCGTGGGGTTGGAATTCTAAAAAGGATTCCCTCAACCCTAAACCTGAAGCCCTAAATCCAATAGCCTCAACCCTAAACCCCAAAGGACCCAACCTTATCCGTCGCAATCGAACCCGGGGAGCCTTCAGCTCAGGAAGACGAGGAGGGTCAACGAAAGAACACTGGTTCATTGGGCAAGGTTCACGAAAAGAACCTAGCATGTCGGCTTAGAGCATTTTCGGTGCAGAATGCAGAACTCGATTCAGGGATCGAGCTCATGAATGAGAGCTCCCCTTCCCTGGCTTGTGGTGCAAAGCGTAGGCTAGCAAAACTGCGACTTCGGATGCAGGGCAAACAACAGAAACTTAGAAAGATGCCATCCTATCCCTAGACCCTTGCCTGAAACCCCTTTAGCCCCCATAAAGTAAACCATAGACCGTATAACACCTAAAACGCAAGACCCTGACCTCAAGTCCTCAAACCTGAGCTTCCTTTTATCACCAAAGGCTCACAAAAGCCAGAGTCCTGGCACCTTTTCCGCGGCAGCACGTCTTTGTACGGGCCCCTAACGCCATGGCCTGATGCCCAAAGCCCGAAATCTCGGAACTTGCAGGCCAGAAGCCTCTAGACCATACATACCACTAATGTAGGAACCTGATTAAGAAATCTTGGGCCTTCATTAGGGTTCCTTATAATCCTACTGTTTTTGGGTTAGAGGCCCAGGAATTCTTAATCAGGTTCCTACATGAAAGCCATCCGAACCCTAAAACCAACAGCTCTGAGCCCTCAAGCCACCCACTAGAATCCAACAAACCACCCAAAACCACACCTTCCACACCTATATGCCTAAGTGGTGCCGGTAGAACGCGTCCAAACCCGTAGCCTCCTCCTTGGAAAGCTTGAAGAGAGAGGGCAGAAAATCCTTGCAGGGCTTCAGGGAGCGGGTTTTGGGCTTCAGGGTTTAGTGCTCAATTAGGGGGCCGGAACAATCAAGAAACATGCTCCCCTCTGATAATATGAGACCGCCCAACCCCAGGTGCTACAGTACAGGGTTTAGGGCTTTAGGCTTCAGGGTCTTCTTTAGAGCTCGGGTCTTTCACTTCACCCCGTTGGGAGTTGCCCAGGACCCAACAAGTCGTCCACTGCAAAGCTGCCAGCACTTTGGCCGCTTCGGCCACGGTCCTTGTGATTGTGCTCATCCCTCACGCCTACAGGTCCGTGGACGCTGTAGAGCAGGCAGCGATCCAGATTGCTCAAGTTTGGCGTCGCAGCATGCCTGGGTTCAAGGCTGACTTGGAATTTAAGGGAGACGGGCTTTGGGGGGGATTGGCTTCTTGTTGCTTTGAGGGTACTGGCAACTTGGGGTTTAGGGCGTGCGTCTTGTGGTGGCCGATGGAGCCTCTTCTGAGACATAGGCTGAGCAAGTGTAGGGGCTTAGAGCTTTAGGTTTAGGGGTTTAGGGTCGAGGGCTTGTATGTGTATGTGCATATACATATACGTTTCTACAGATATATATATATATATATATAATACATATATATACACAAATATATGTATGTATGTGTAATACATATATGCACGCATGCATGCATACATACACTGGTCTCGAAGCCGGGGAGCTTCGTGGTGTAGAAGAAGAGCAAAGTCTCCCCCCGTCTCAAAGGAAGGGGCACCCCCACCTGATAGGAATAAAGTAATGCAATACGACAGTATGATAGTATTATCGTATACTAGTATTATAGTACAGTAGTGTATTAGTAGTATAGTATATAGTCTTATAGTACAGAAAAGTAGTGTTATAGTATGATAGCACAGTAGTATATTGGTAGTATAATATATTCGTCTTATAGTACAGTATAGTAGTGTTATAGTATGATAGTATTACAGTATTTTGGTGTTATAGCACCCCCACCTCGCCCTTCGAAGCGATCGGAGCCTGAGGGCTTGGAATTCGCAGGGACTCCGCGTTGAGGGTCTAAGGCTTTAAGGGATTGTGGAAGGGTTCAGAGTACGGTTTAGGGGTTTAGGGTTGTAGAGTTTTAGGGCTTAGGGCTTTAGGGGCTACTTGGGCCTGAAAACCCTGGCTGCATGGTTGGCGCCTTCATGCCTTCGGAGTCCGAAAACCGGGCCCCGTTATGGGACATCGGCTGGCCGTGGATGAAGCCCACAGTTTGCGGGTAGTCACAGGCAGCCGTCACCGCAACGAGCAGAGGATTGTCGAAGCCATCCCTGTGCCTGACTTGGAGGTTCATGGGTAGTTATAAGTAGGGCTATAACTAGGGTAACTATACTTATAACCCTAATTAGGGGACTTAAAACCCTACTTCTAACTACCCCTGAACCTCCAAGTAGCGGGGTCCCGGCCTTGAGGATTTAGGGGCGACTGCGCACTGCAAGTCGGGGTGTAGCGGTTACGGCTTTGGGGTGTTGACGCTTCACGATTCTCTCGGAATCGCTCGAGCTATCAGGCTGTTGTTTTTTGGCACCTGGCATAAGAAGATTTATCTTCAAGCTTTGTAACCACAAGGGCACTGGTGTAAGCACCTGCAGGTCTCCTACGGGACCACCAAAAATCGGAATGATGCCGAATACGAGCCCAGACCAAATCCCCGAAATCGCGAACCCAGAAGCTGCAAACAACATAGAAGCCGATCTCGCGACGCAAAACCAGAAACCGCACTGTCATAAAGTTTATCCAACAACCTACATATATGTATGTGTATATATATATATCTATGCTTATCTATGTACATATGTCCCATATGTACATACATACATACATACATGCACATATTATATACATATGCATGAATGCCATAAAGCCGCCACACGGGTGGACCCGAGCCCGGGAAGTTCCACAAGGCTCCGAGGACGCTTTGCTCACAGCGGCGACCAAAAGCGCTCTCGGCGATGCCTCGCAGACCTGAATGGTCGCACCACCTGGGGTTTGGGGGTTGGGGTGCTAGGGTTTTAGGGTTTCAGGTTTCATTTTCTGACGGGAGGCCGCGGGGGGGGGATGGAGTTGGGTTCAGGGATTTGTGTCGCTGGGTCGTTGACTTTGGGGCATGTGCGGCTTTGAAGGTTCCGGGCCACAGTCCCAAGTCCATGGCCAGATGTCAAAACAAGAATACCGAAACAAAATCCTTGAAAGTTAAATTCCAAAGCATCTCCAAAACCTTCCATCTCACCTCGATCTTCGTAGCTCTGGACTTCCAATCAGCTGTGGCATGTCCAGCCGTCCCTGGGAGTAGGACAATGCCTCTTGGAACTCGAATAGTTTCCGCGGGTTGTGGCCCCTTACCTGGGCTCGTGGCAAGACGCTTGTCGTAAGCGATCTGAATGATTGCTTTCGAAGATAGATGTGGGTGGTTGTCAAAATTATGGTCCCTTTTGGGTCCCTATTATAATACGGCACCTATTATTTAGGGTGCCCAAGAAAGGGACCCTAATTTTGACAACCACCCATGGGTGCCCGCAGACAGACAGTCAGATGGACAGAGGGACGGATAGCCAGGCAGCTAGACAGCGAGGCAGAAAAACAGACAGAGAAAGACAGAAATAGAAAAGGAGAGAAAGAGAGAAGGAGACAAAGAAACAAGGCGAAAACGCGAGAGAGAGAGAGAGAGGGAGAGGCAGACATAGGGGGACAGAGAGAGAGATAGTCAGATAGAAAGGTGACGGTTGGGGCCATGGGCCTCTCAGCACACCACACACATATTGACACAAGAATCTGCAGGACACAGACAGGTTGGTAGGCAGGTAGACAGATGGATAGATGGATACACAGATCCGTGGAGAAGTATGCTCGTGGCATACTGACTTGAGTTCCTGAGCCCAGTTGCCCAAGGAGACCTCTCCAGTAGATCTAGTCGCTCTGCTGCGGATTTCACCTTTGCCAGTTCCACATCTGCAGTCTCCTGACCCAGCTGTAGCTCCAGCTCAGTAAAGAGGGAAGCTCCCTGCAAGACTACGAAGCCCGTGGCGTTCAGGAGCGTGGCGGCAGCTGCCATGGTCTGCTCGGTAAGTCCGGATACTGCTTCTTCTGCAGAGATCATGAGGCTCCACTCCCGATTTCCCGAACCATCCCCCCGCCCGATGCGCCCGAGCCCGAGCCCTCTGCCCGCATGCGGAAGCCTCCAACTCTCACCGACGAAGCTGCGAAAGCAGGGGAATGAAACCAAAACGCCCAGCAGCACTGGCCGGCCAAGCATCCGAAGCCCGCGGGACATCGGCTCAGAAGCTTCGGCTCTCCGAAGAGTCTAGAAAAGTAGCGCCAACCTCTCAGCTTTAAGCACGGTTTAGGGTTTAGGGCCTTTAAGGTTCAGGGTCATGAAAAGACGCGCAACGAGCCAATAGGGCTCTTTCAGTTTGTGAAGCTCTTCAGACTCACTCCCTGGCTCTGCAAGTGTCATGCCTCGCTGAGCCCAGCTCACAGAGGATTCACCCAGCATTCGCCGACCCCGAGCCCAACTAGAGAACGCCCTCAATACTCACAAAAAGGGGCTTTCGGGATACTACGGTAGGATAGGACGTCGTCGTTACGAACTCGGAAATTTATCCGGCCTGAATAGCACTCGAACCCGAGACCTTATGCAGTCGCATCCTCGAAGGATGTGCCCTAGGCCCTAAGCCCTAAAACCAAGGCCCTCAACCCTAAGCCCGAAAGCGCATACCCCTTATAACCCCAAAAACCCTAAACCCCTAAATCTCTACGCCCTAAACCCTAAAGCCCTCAAGCCCTAAACCCGAGAATGCAGGGGTCCCTCAACACCTCTAAGGCTCCCAACATCCTTCAATCCGACTTCGCGGGGTTTGGAGTCTTGGGAACAGCTTTAGGGCTTAAGCTCTACGGCTTTAAGCGCGATGGGGGTTTGGAGCCTTGGGATTTAGGGTTTCCGCTTGAAAGTCTAGGATTTGAGGGATTTTGTTTGAGCTTCAAGAATTTCTTCTTGGACTTGGGTGCTCTGACCTGTACCTCCCGCAGCTGATCCAGCGTGACGCTGTCCTGGTTGTCGGGAAGCCAAACTAGTACGGTGAAACAGGATCCACCAATCTATGGTCGATATTTAGTGTTCCTTGTTTTCTGCGACTCCCCTTCAAGAGCCACCAGATGAGGATAAGATTTCCGACATTGTGGTAGGGAGTCTCAACAAAAGCACACCATGAAAGACTCCTGGAGCCTCAGAGCACCTGGTCTTTGGGAACTCCATTTTGCAGGTGTCGGTTTTTGGTCTTGGCTCCCCTGAACTGCGCGTCTGTATAAAACCGTAAAAAGACCCCTTTAGACACGATCAAACCTTGAGGCTCTTCGAACTATTTCACTCTGCAGAGATCGAAGGGCCCTCAGGACTCCCGGGAAGGCCGGAAACGACACGAAGACTGCCGGCTGCCATCAAGGACCCATAAGGAAACTTATGGGGCTAGGGGGCCTTAATACTTGTAATCAGGCCTGTTTAAGGAAGTTATACTCCCCTACTCCCCTTCCCCCTCCCCCCTATCCCGTTAATTAAGGGTCCCTGCGAAGGCCTGAGGGCGACCCTGCCGTGAACTCGTGAATTTACAAGCCACCGGACCCCGAGCCGCCCTCCCGTGAGGGGTCAAGAATGAGTGCAAGATTATAAGTATACTATCATGATGGAATGGAAACGACTGCTACAAAGCACCCTTGGGCCCTAAACTCAAACCGCAAGCCCCCAAGCGCAGCAGTCCTCGGGTGAGTAGATGCCTGCACGTTTCAGCAGGCTACTCCTCGGATGCGAGTGCCACTCTTGCGAGAGTAGGAGGTTTGGTGCTCGGGTTTTGGTGCTCAGGCGCTTCTGCATTGTTGGGACTGTGAGTTGGGAGATCAGGATTTCATACTCAAAAGGCCCCTACAATTCAGAAACCACAGCTGTTGCGATGCTGGGTCGGATTTCGGCGAAGGGATGACTTGGAGAACAGCCTTAAACCCTCAAACCCGCCGCCCTCGCAGGTCCTCTGAAGCACCTAAGCCCCAAACCTCCTAAATCCTCAATGGCTTAAGGCTCTCAGAGCTAAACCCTAAACCCTAAAGCCCTAAAACCCTAAATCCCTAAACCCTAAACCCCTACAACCCTAGACCCTAAACCCCCAAAACCCTAAACCTCTAAACCCCTAAAATCCTAAACCACTAAAGCCCTAATCCGGGCTTAAGCTTTTGAAGGTTCTTCGATCCCACGAAGAAGGCTAAGCCCACGGCCACCTGGCTTCACTGATGCACGTGGAAGGCAGGCCAGCCAACCTCAAAAAGCTTGGAATTTAGGGATGAAGAGGATTTGAGGCTTCAAGTTTAGGATTTAGCGTTGAGGGCTTGCGGTTTATAAAGGCTTAGTGTTAGGGTTTACCCGAACCTTGTCCGGTGTGTGTTTAGGGCCTTGGGCTTTGGGGTTTAGGGGTTCTTCTGGTTTATGCCCCAGGGTTTAGGTTTCTGGGTTCAGAGTCTAAAGCGTTTCTGGTCCTTACAAGGAACCAAGGTACTATGTGCGGTCTATACCAGGATCTCCTCCATACACTAAACCTACTGCAAGAGCGGAGCGAGCCGTACTGAAACAAAAGAAGATCGAAGAGCATGCAAAAAGAACGACCAAAAGAATGAGGAGTGCTAGTTACTGCACGTCTGACTGTGGCTCAGTGTTCCTGTTTTCGGATCTGACCAATACTGCTGTCGTTATAGCCGGTGCTTCCAGTACTGCATAATTAACGTGATCTTAACCCTCCCCCAATTGAAAACGAAGCCCGAACCCCCCGAGGATGCGGCAGCATAGTGTGGGCAGTGCAGAGCGCTCGAATAGCCGCATGGCACGGCCTATGCGTGACGAAGGCACTCAGTCGGATTGACCCTAGACCCTAAACCCTAAATCAAACTAAGGCTTTCAGTGCAGGGGCTCGGGCTTCGGTCAACCATGAATCAAACCCAAACCCAGCCCAAACCCAACCCCAGAAACCCAAAACCCAACAGACAAAATCCCAACTCTAAAAGCCTAAAAGCCTAAAACCTCGCATACAGTGACCGGAAGACGACTGAGAGCACCACACGCTCCCCTGAGAGGCACCTCCAGCAGCTTCCTGGGTTTTTTTCGGCTTTCGCTGTTTTTTCGGGCACAGGATTTTAGCATTGTCGTTTTTGCGGTTATAGTCTTTGGTTGTTAACTTGTTTCAGGAATACGGCTTTGAGATTTTAAGAGTTTGGGTTTTCGGGCTCCAGGACTATGGTCAGTGGCATTCTCGTGCTTCCCCCTCTGGGTTCCTCGAGTCGCACCGCTGGGTTTAGGATTTATGGTTGAGGGGTCACGGGTGTAGGGATTAAGGGGTTTAGCGGTTTCGGGGTTTAGGGTTGAAGGTTTGAGCCTTCGCGTTATCCCAGGGCACAGGATTCAGGGTTGAGGTAGTTGCGCGGTTGCGGTCGGATGCAGCTTGCCTTCGATATGCAGCCCAGCCCTAAACCCTAATCCCATACATTCATCCTGGCCCCATTGTACTATAAAAAGAGAATAAGGAACCCCCAACATACGTAGTATAGGTAATTATTTAGGCCCCTATTATAGAACCCCATTTTTGATCCCTTACAGACCCCTTTAAGGACCCCCTTTAAACGGAACCCGAGGACTGTAAGGCTCTAAACCCATCTCTAAGCCCGGCACGAAGCAAGACTGCAGCGTGTTGGCAACCACACTGGGGTCCGAGAGAAGGACCTGCTGATAGGCTTTAGGGTTTAGGGTTTAAACTTTAGGATGTTGGGTTCAGGGTTTAGGGTTTAGGGCTTAGGGTGATATAGGAGCTTTAGGGAATCTTGGGGAAACTTGCGGAGAGAACCCTAAACCCTAAACCCCCAAACCCTAAACCCTAAACCCATACCCCTATAGAATCCCTACAGATCCCTTTAAAGGGACCTAAAACCCTAAACCCCTAAACCTCCAAGTAAGACAGGTCGGAGCCTTTAGTCGCTCCAAGACCGCCAGCTGCTCGGACTCGTCCCCGAATCCTGCGGCCTCACAGTCGCAGAGCAGGGGTTTATGGGGGGGGGTTAGGGTAGGAGTTTAGGGGTTAGGGGTTTAGGGGTTGAGGATTTAAGAGTTTTAGAGTGTTTTAGGTTTAGGAGTTAAGAATTAGGATTGGGGGCTTTGGATGTCGGGTTTAGGATTTAGGCTTAAGAGTTGGGGGTTAATGCATGGGGTGTAAGGTTTAGGAATTTGAATGTAGGATTTAGGGATGAGGCTTTAAGGTTCAGGATTTAGGGATTAGGGGTTAGGATCTAGGATGTAGGGCTTAATTCGGAAATCAAGATTTAAGATTTCGCGGCCAGGGTTTAGATGGGGGGGCTTGGGATTTCGGGTGAAGGATTTAAAGTTTAGGACTTAAGCTCTGGGATTCAGGGGTCAGGGTCTAGGATGTAGGGTTTGGATAGAGGGCTTAGGTTTTGTTGCTTCGGGTTTATGGCTTAGGGCTTGGGTTTTAGGGGTCAGGATTCAAGGTTTGGGCTTCCGCTGTAGGGTTGAGGATGTAAGGGTTACGGTTTAAACTTTAAGCTTTGGGGTTTAGGGCTCGGGATCTACAACCAGTGCATTGAAGGCAAGCACTAAGCTGATAATTTCAAAGGGCCTGAAGGCACAAAGTTCACTTCTAGTTGAGGGTTTAGGGTTAAGAATTGCAGGGAATTTGAAATGTAAAGCCCAGGGAATATTGGCCTCTGGCGAGGAGGAAGGAAATGCATGTCAAGAAACAGGGCTCGGATTGTGATTGAATTTTCGTCTTGAGCTTAACCTTTCACATCACTTCTAGTTCCTCATGAAGACCGGGAAGAAACATAGTACCCGGGCAATCTCGTCTTGGGTGTATTTGGACTCTTAGTTTTGGTTGGAACAGGGGTACATCACAATCAGCTTCTTCAGCTTCACATTCGTTGTAAGCCACACGAGCCTCCGAACGTCAGCGACACAGTTGGTCGGAAGTGATTAACGACAAAAGCATGCAAAGCACTCTATGCCGTTCGTCAAACTATCTTATCCCACAACGGAACAACAACCGCGGAAGGCTTCACCCGCTTCGCAAGAGGTAGCTGCGAGAGTTGCTCGGCAATAGTCAAGCACCCAACCATAATGCGATCCCTATGGCAAAACTCTCTGCTCGCGGTAAACCCACTAAGTACCTTGAACCCTCGACCGAAGGACCTGAGGTGGCGTAAGCCACTGACTGCAGGGCACACAATGCCGTGATGCTTCAATACATGTAGGAACCCATCCCGAAATCTTCGTGTCAACACAATCAGCTTCTTCAGCCTTAAGAAGAAAAGCCCTTGCCAAACCCAGATTAGAAAGGGTTTAGGGCGTTGGGTCTAGGGTTCACGCTTTCGCGTCTGAAATAAGCAGGAAGGCTCATCGTTAGCAACCCGGGCGGGTGGGCTATTGATACTCTCCTGCTAGTCGGTGCTGCCTTGTAGCCAGGATCACACTTATAGAAACTTAACAAGGGCACGGGGAGTTCAGACATGGCTTCTCCAAGGGTGGACACCCCTTATCCCTAAACTTCGAGAAAGTGAGTAAACGTGCAATACGTGAATATCTGGGTACTCACTTCAAGGGCAGCTGCGCACGGAACGACCTAGTCAAGCACAGAACCCCCTTTCTTTCCCAGGCCATCCCCCAAGTTTCATATAAGGGCCTGAACAGCATTCTAATAGAAGTGTGTGTGTGTGTGTGTGTCTATATATATATATATGTGTATGCGTGTATATATATATATATATATATATATATATTGCTGAGCCCTAGCGAATGAATACGGTTAACTACTCACTACTCAAGCTTCGATAAACACGAAAGAGCAGAAACGAGAACTCGAAACCTCTGTCAGTGTCTCCCGCAAAGTGTGCCTGCACGTCTGAGCAGGCCTTGGGCTACGGCAAATGAAGTGGCTTGAAGTTGAGGCTGAGGTGTTGTGTGGGGTTTAGGGTTTGGGGCTTAGGGGAATGGGCTGAGGGTGGCGTACTGGCCTGCTGTACTTTGGTGCCAGTCCCAAACGCCCCGCCTCTTTCCCAAGGAAAGGCTATGCTTGTCGTTCTGTCGCTTCAGCAACGCCCTCCCCTCTAAGCTTTGGCTTTGACAACACGAACCTTCAGAACTCTCGCAGGCAGACCTGAATTTTGATTAGAACAAGAGCTGCGTTCATAAAACCCTAAACCCTAAACCCCCTACCCCCTAAACCCGAACCCCCCTGAAACACTAAACCCTAACCCCCTGAAATCCTAAACCCCAAACCCCCTAAAGCCCGAGAGAGCAAGAGGGCTGGGGCACCAGGCTCGGCAAGCGCCCCCCGGAGCCGCCGGGCACTTGCAGCTACTGCCCACCTGCAGCACTTTGCGACGAGGACTTAGGGCTTTAGGGCTTTAGGGTTCGGGCTTTAGGGTTTGGGCTTTAGGGTTTAGGGTTTGGGGCTTTAGGGTTTAGGGTTTGGGGTTTGGGGTTTAGGAGTTTATGATTTGGGGTTTGGGGTAGTCGGGATCGTCGTACATAATGGGTTGCCATAATAATCGATTAGGCTCCTTAGCAAAATACCCGGTTTATGTCAGGGTATGTCAGGGTGCGAGACTTCAAAGAGAGCTAAGCACCAGCCAAACTGTATCGAAAGCAGCAACGGCAAACCCTGAAATGCGCGACCGACAGAGTGCTGCTACCAAGCTAAAGGCTAAAAAACACCTGAAAAGGCCCAATGGATAGTTCTCTAAAGTGGGGTCCCTTATAGCATCGTTGTTTACAAGGGTGCCGTACTCTTTGTTGGACCTGCCGAAACCCGACACTCCTAAACCCCTGAACCCTTGAATCCCAACCTTAATATAGAAGCTTCGTCAAAAAACACTGATACTCTTCCTCTGTCAAGGTTCCGATGCCCCCAAACCCTATTCTAATTACATAAGATGCTCGTACCAACAGGAGCCCTTTTCTAGCTCCTAAGTCCCCCAAATCCTAAACCCTAAACCTTTTCCTAATTCCTAAAAGGCGCAGAAACAAGCAGCCACCTGACTGCCAGGAAGGGCGGGAACTGGCGCAGGTGCTGCAAAGCAGGACGCCGGACGCCTCGTTTGATCTGGGTTTGGCGGTTTAAAGGTCTCGGGCTTTAGGTCTTTAGGGTTGAGGGGTTCAGGGGTTGAGGGTTTAGGGTTGTGGGTTTAGGGTTGAGGGGGTAGGGTTTAGGGTTGAGTGAGGCCACGTGCCATGATGTGAGCACAGCAGCCTTAAGGCTTCGAGACTAAAGAAGGGGTAAGGGTTTAGTTGGAGCGGGTTCAGGATTTGGGAATTCGGATTTAGGGTGACCCTAGATCAACGGTCTTTGGAATTTGGGTCCTGCCTGGGGCGCTGGAATGAGGCCTTTAATTTCAGGGGGCATGCTATAATCTCCTGAATAGACGTTAAGATGCTCTCTCTGATCTCTCTGGCTTGTCAAGGTTCATGGAGCTGTCGGCCCAGCAAGTGTGCACTCGGCCTGAAGACTGAAACGTAGCCTTGCCCTGCCTTGGCGATCACACGCCTAGCCTGCTTGGCATGCTTCTGGTGTGGACTTCGTTGAAGGATATAGTCCGGTCGTCGTGTATGGGGCACTGCGGGCCTGCTGCGTCCCTGCGGCCTGCGGCGCCCGCACAGTATCCAAGGCAAAGATCCGCACAGCTCAACCTCTAAACCCTCAACCCTAAACCTTAACCCTCCTGAAACCCTAAACCCCCCGAAACCCTGAACCTTAACCCAGAAGGCAGAAACTTCTGCCCACCCTGGGCACAAGCTTTGAGCTCGCGATGCTTCCGGGCACAAGCTTTTGGAATGGCGAGGTTTGAGGTGGGGTGATCTCGGGTCTTTGCATGCTGCCGAGGGCAAGATTCCAAGTGCTCCTGGCACGCGCGAAACTGCGAGATGTGTACACTTCTTCATAGGAACCCTTGGGGGGTAGGGGGAGGGGGGTAGGGGGCCTTGATACCTTTAATAAGGACCTAATAGTAAAGTCCCTACCCCCCTCCCCCCTAAGGGCCCCTATGACTTCTGTATCGAAAACGATGACAGATTTGCCGGGAGGTTCGCTACACCTGCCATCAACAGCCTTTGCCACGGACCCTGCTTACGCCCCCTAAACCTTAAAGCAAACCCGAAAGTGTTGATATCAGTTCCGATTAAGGGCCCGACATGGGAGTTTTCGAAAATCCCTAAGTAGTCGGAGCCTTTTTATAAGGATCCCAAAATAACGCACCCCTAATTCTCGGAAACTCCAAACCCTTATAGAGCCCTTCAGAGGAACCCCCATAGTACCCTTTTTGTAACCATTTGAAAGTCCCGATATCAGGAGCTACAGAGCTTCCTGAGATTGCTGGGTCGCCCAGACCCGATCGGCTCAGAGACGAAATGAGTGGCTTGGGCGCTCGTCTGGCGCTGCAACACCTTCTGCTGGGATTTGGGGTTTAGGGTTTGCCGTAGAGTGGCGCATAAGCGGAAGTATCTCGCGACAGTGTAATTTCGAGTGCGTCGTCTTCTGACGATTGGCTGTTGGAGCCTGATTGTGGATGGCTCTGTCTTTTAACTCTCCCACCCCACGCCGTCTAAGGCGGCCAAACCACCCAAACCTATTCCTTTTAGGGTTTAGCCCCTAAACTCATTCTATGGTTTTCTTTATTTCTGCAGCCACAGGGTTTAAAGCAGCCCCACGAAAAGAAAGGAGGGGACCTCGACTTTGGCACCTGGCCCCATTAAAATGCACATTCTATGAACGGAAAAAGTCGGCAAAACCAGCACCAAGCAACCAACAGGGCAGGGCATGGCAGCGGGCCCAAGGGCCAGGAGGCCAGGGGCCGCCACGGGGCCGACAGGCACTTTTGTGCAAGTACCCCCCTAGGACCGGCCTGGAGGCCCCTCCGGTACCGGGCCTATCGTGGGTGCTACCCTCCCCATCGTTGTGGAAAGGCGGGCAAGCGTATCTGGTCGCTCTGCGCCATTGAAGTCGAGGGGCTGAAGCGCCGCCCACCCACGTAGGTGGGCGGCCTAGGCTAGGGGTGGGGGTTGGGGGCTTAGTGCTAGGCTTTACTGCATTAGGGTTCCAAGGACTTAGAGTTCAGGGCTTATAGGACCCACAAAAGCAGTTCTGCTGGGCCTTGCTATGAAGTTTACATAAGGCTCCAAGTTCTGCCCTTCATGCTCAAAGCTGGCCTCCCTTTCCCCCTTCCTGGGTTCAGGGTTTGGGATTCTCGTTTGTGGGCTGGGACAAGGGAGAGCCGCTCGTGCCAAAGAACAGAGAGACTCCGAAGCCAATAAAACGGGGAGAAAAGGCCACTCCGGGCTCCGAAATCCTAAGTTATCCCCGCATCCCCTCGCACAAAACCTTCCAAGTTCAGGGTTCCATGAATCCTACACCCTCTGCAGTCGCTCGTCGTACAGCCGACAGCTGAGTGCTCTCGCCTGCGTGGTCGTGGGGAGTGCTGGCTGCTGAACGACCACCGGCCTGGCCGGTATGGGCACTGGGCTTTTGGGTGAGGGCGCTGGAATACGAAACCCCAAACCCTAAACCCCTAAATCCTAAACCCCTAAACCCCTAAACCCCTAAACCCTAAACTCCCAAACCCTAAACCCCAAACCCTAAACCCCAAACCCTAAACCCTAAACCGAGGCGTTACGGCTCCAGGTGCAGTTAGAGCCTGGAACCGCAGACCCCGCGTGGCACTACGTGCCCGCCAGCGAGCCTCTTTCGCAGGGTGCGATTGAGGAATTTTGAGCCCTGAGGCACTGTACCTTTGTGGAGGTGCTTCAGGAAGATCCCCACCTTGAGTGGCTGGATACGTGGTTACGACCATATATGAGAGTGGCAGGCTGGTTCATCTTTTGGTTGAGCTGGCTTGCTGTCCATCACCACGCCGTACGAAGAGGCGTGGCACCGCCGAAAGAGGCGCAAGAGGACCGTTTCCCGCACCCTGCTCCGCAACGTGGTCAGTGGGGTGGTCTCGCCCAGGCACCCTTCCGTGCCTGCCGCACTACAAGAGCTCCGCTACCATCACTCCCGCAGCAGCTTGCCGCAACAAGTTGCAGCCATGGCCAACCAGGTGGTTTGGAAGTGCCAACCATGTGGCCGCACGTGTGGAAAGACGGCGGAGTTTTGTGCTCAATGTGGCCAGCACTGGTCCAAGGTAGCCGAGGGCTACACCGGTCAAGGCTGGCGACACAGCTGGAGATCCGAGGCAAGCGACGGGCAATACCCGCAGTCGCCCCGCCGGAGATCCCCTCGCAAGCGCCCGCCCAAGGGGCCCGGGCAGAAAGGCGGGAAGCAGCAGGGACAGCCACAGCCGGTCAAAGGCGGCAAAGGTGGCAAGTCCGAGCCATCCAGACCCTCGCTGGACTCCTTGCCTGCACCTCCGCCAGCTCCGGTGGTTGTGGGGCCCAAGACTGCTACCACTCCGGCCCCCACGTCTGGGGTGCCGTCAGCAGAGCGGGCCCAGCTCGAAGCTTTGACAGGCTGCCTCTTTGCAGCCAAGGATGCCTTGCCTGCGGAAGTCAGGGAGACTCTGGAACGCCTGCAGCTGGTGGAGACACAGTCAACGGCCAAGGACCTCCACAAAGCAGTGGCGGCCCAGTCGCAGGCGAAGAAGCAGCTCCTACACGTGCAGGCCTCCAGGGCGTCCTATCTGGAGGCTTGGCATACCTACGTGGACAAAGTGTCCAGCCTCTTGCAGACACAGCTCAACGAGCAAATCGAGCAACTTACGGCTTTCGACGAAACAGAGCTACAGTGGACTACGGCTCTGGAAAAGGCGTCCATGGACCTCGCACGCCTTGCAAGATCCTCTTCGAATCCGGCCGAGCAAGTCGAGATGGAGTGCGACGAGGAGGAGGACCATCTGGCCGACACGGACATCCGGACGGAGCGCGAGCTCTCGCAAAGGCGAGAGAAGCAGCTACATGCATCCCGGCAGCTGGTGGCTTCTATCGAGTCGGTACGACTCAATGCTCAGGAGCAGCTCCAGCAGCATGGAAGGGAAGGATCACGGACGCCCAGACGGCGCAAAGCGGATGTGGACCTCACCAAGGAAGAGAACCTCGAGGAATCCAATCGACAATCCGGGCCTGCCGATTCAGGGCAGGATGGTGGCGGCAGCAAGGATGGCAAGAATGGCGACAATGCTGTTCGGAAGCCCCCTGGCTGAGCCCGTGTACGAGCCTAACGGGACTACACGGGCGGTGCCCTCTGGGTCACTCCGTGGCCTTTGAGGAAGACTTCGTGGACGAGTGGTGTGCCAGTTTTTCTGGTGCAGCCTTGGCGCATGAAGTATCCCTTTTTGAACTGGACCTGGAAGTGGAGCATACTTTCTGGACAGATCCGCGACACGCCGCCGGGCAGTATGACTTTGAGGAGGCAGCTTGGGATACGCTGCCGACTCAGAGCTGCGACTATGAAGCTCTGGAAGTTTTCTTCACGGAGAGCTACGCCGACGCCCACTGCAAACGCGATGGTCAGACAGTCCTTTCGGGCACAGCGCTAACTTCTCGGACGTTCCGAGTTCCCACCCTGCACATGGCCAAGCAGGTGGTAGAGCTTGACGAAGTTCGAGGAATTAGCCGAGCTGCTCTTGAAAGTGACTCTCTCATCAAGCGCGTGTATACAGCTGAAAGGATAGTCTGTACAGGTCGTAGGCCGCAAGTGCTGCCCGCTGTACATAGATACCGCCATTGCATGCCTTTGCATCCCACCTTCGATGCCTGCTCTCATTTACGAGGTGCCAATCAGCGCGCCCGTGCCCTATCCTCCGCTCTCACATTCTTCCCGAGCGTCGAGGTTCGTGAGCGCTACAAGGTCGGTTCCGTGTCGAACCTTGGCGCCAATTGCAATGTGCACAATGATGCATCAACCGAGCTGCCCTGCACATCATCACCAAATCCCCTACGGCGCTGCAAGGTCGGTTCCCTGTCGAACCTTGGCGCCATCTGCTCCCTTCCGCCAGTGCAAAGTGAGCTGCACATCAAAAGCCTCGATGACAAGCATGCCTCCCCTTACCGAGTTGTCAGCTGGCCCCAACAACCACCTGGGCGCTACAAGGTCGGTTCCGTGTCGAACCTTGGCGCTGCCAGCTCTCGGATCAATGACGCTGTGCTCTGGACACACTCCAGCATGGCTTCTATGTGTGCAAATGCTCGACTGCCCTGCGACACACCACAGGACCTGTCACAGCGCTACAAGGTCGGTTCCCTGTCGAACCTTGGCGCCTACTCTCCTCCTGTCGCAGCCCCAGCGTCGCCTGCACTCTCTGTGCCGACTGCGCGCTCTATGCCTAAGGCCAGCGCAATCACCGATCTGCACATGATCATTGCAGCACAGGTCCAAATTGGACCAGAATGGCTGGCAGGCCCCTTCCTGAACACTGATGCAAGGAGCCTAACGCGCATGCAACTCGAGCCTGCCGCGGCAGATCGTGACACCCGCTACACGATCCTCGAATACCGCAGTGACACCATTGTGCGACGGTCCATGCCCGCCTGGACTCCACTTGAGTATGTTGCACACGCTATCAGACAGGTGCCTTACCGAGTTCAAAGGGCTTACTTCCTTGAGGTGCCACTGCCTGGTTACCCATGCCCCCAGATCCTTCTCACTCCTGCTGGTCTGCCTCTTGGGCATCGGACCCTGCCAATCGATCTTCGACCACTTCAGGGTCTGCTGCATGTGGTTAGAGTTCCCTGCGGCCTTGAAACCCCGGCACTATGGGACACTCTGCAAGACAAGGGTGTTGAAGACCTGGATGCCCTAGCAACGGCCACCCGCGACGGCCGGCTAACACTGACGGACCAAAATGGCCGCATTGTTCAACATACCCGACCATTGCCTGAGCAGCAATGGTTGATAACACCAGGCATCGAGGAGGACTTGCCACCTACTTTTGTTCTGCGCTACGTCGGTGGTGGGCCGCTGACCTTCCGGTTACCCCGGCCGCCACAGCCGATAGAGCCGCCCAGACATGCCACGGCCGCTGAAATTGAAGCCTTACGTGCTGCCGAGCATCCTGGGCCCGCGTGGCCCGATACCACCTCCACGACCACAGCCATGTGCGCTGCGCAAAAGACCGTTGAAAGGCCTGCCTCAAAACCTCCTGGAATGCCCGAGCCAGACATCGAGCCACCCTCTCTACTTCAACGAGTCGCGGCCCAAGCTGACGGAAAGCTTGGACAGACTAGTCGGCCACAAGAAGTGCCCTCCATTCTGCCCGGGTACCTCGAGCGCGATTGTCTCCAGCAGGAAAGCGTCGATGTTTACTCATGGGGTGCGACTGCAGGCGCGCCCAATCATGCTTACACCATCTTTGATGTTGTCAGACATGCCACGACTCGGCCGCGCCCCAGAGAAGGCACTCTGACTGCGATCATCCGCGCAGCAGTGCTTGAAGCGCCTTTCCCTGTCGGCGCTGTTCAGGTGCTCATGAAGGGTGTTCAGGGATTGCCGCAGCCGCAACTGGTTTTGCACCAAAGGAACCTCCCTAACGGACATGCCCCCATACCTTGGGATTTACGTCCAGTTGGGGGTGACCTTTACACAGTGAATCACAAACCACAAGAGTCCCTGCAGGACGCCGTTGATAGACTTCGACCAGTGCTGCCCGCGGCAACTGCTTCGAGTGTTTGTGACTCGCTTGTGGCGAGGCATTATGCAGTCCTTGATGCCACCGGCATTATTGGACATACTATCCCGCAGGTCCTCAGTGAGGTGCAGCATTTTCTTGTTGAGCCCGCCTTTTCAGGCTTCGCAAGCATAGGCCTGCCACCTCCGTGGGATGATTCACCTCCCCCGTTCTTTTGGCCGACTGATGGAGCTCCATCGACCACATCTACTACATCCACAAGCCCAAATGAGCTTCCCAGTTCCTTCCGGTTCACAATGCTTTGCGGCCCGCACTCATACAGTGCAGTGGTGCAAACGCCCTGCTACCAAGCAGACGCCATCCTGGAAAGACTCATCCGGGAAGTGCTCGCCCTGAGCTACCCTGCCCACGGGCCACTGCGGGTCATGATGGCAGCCGGTCAACCTGCAGCAGTTGACAATCAACAGGAGGTTATATTCCTCTTATGCAACTCTGTGTACGACCGGACAGCAACAGTCGTTGTCGACGAACGAGCCGGCGGACACTCCCTCCATACTTACCACGTCGCACCACACACTATGTGCGAGAGCCTTATCGCACCCGAAGCGAGTGGTAGAGGGATCTCTGTCGTAGTCAACGGTGCCCCAGCTAGGCTCACCCCTAAGTGGCCAGTGCAAGGAGATTACATACAGTTTGATGAAGGCCAGGGACCCCCCGCGTTCACACCCACTAGCTGGATCTTACGCCAGCTCGAGGTCCTTCTCCCGTACACCTGGCCACTGCATGTCGGAGACGGTGTGTACTCCCTTGATGTGCCGGCTTGCGCCCGACTGCGCCGACGCGCACAAGGAACATTCCACCCGCCAGAGGGCGGCTGTTTGGTCCTTGGTATTCACCACGGCCCTGTCGCCTTCAATCTTGGGCAACCGGTTGTCCCGTCTGTGCCAGAAATGCAAGCAGGCCTTGCTCAACTTGATGACTGCCCACCAGCCATGCTGGAGACATACCACACCAGGGCGGTCAGCATCAGCGAAAGGACGGTGTTCGTATCAGCGCCTACGCAATACATGTACAGGACGGTGTTGGCACCCTGCCTCCCGTTCCCCAATCACTACATTGCCTACGCTGTACTACCTGGAGCCATCGAGCTTCAACTGATTTTACCGCAAGGAGTCGCCTACCCCAGGCCTAGGCGCAGACACCAACATGGAGACATCCTTGAAATCTTTCTCCTTGCAAGGTGTGTATGGCCCTACATTCGATTTGTCGAATATGGCCTGCCGCTCCCACAGGCAGCGCATGCTCCACAACCGCAAAGACCTCCTTACAACGATGGAACCGCGCTAGTTCAAATTCCAGATTACACTAGCCGGCATAAGCAGCGCTGCGTGCGGCTACAACAACTGCATCCTGAGGTAGACTGCCCATGCATCGAAGGTGCTTTCCGATGCAGCGATGCTGAGCCCAGCGATACCGGTTTTCCTTTTCAAGTGCCGACCCCATTCGGCAGACGTCGCATACGTTTAAAGCCTCAAGATAAACCTGAGTTCAACCCAGGTGCACTTTGGGCTCATAACCTATGCGAATCTGGACCCGGTGCAGAGGCTACCTCAAAGCCTGGCCCCACCATCCTGTCGCTTGACCAGCTCATTGCACAACACGCCGAACGTCGAGAGGCCGGGGGACTCCTCACTGGAGTTTCTGCAGATATGTTCCCATTCTTGTTTGAACAGTATAGCCTTGCACTCTTCAGTCCTGAGTGGCAGCATATCCCTGATGTGCCGTCCACCACACGGCAATTTCTAGATGGTCTCCGGACCTTGCCCTCAGGTGCCAAACCAGCCGCCATCCAATTTTTTGTCGATGGGTCTTTCTTCCCCGCCGAACATGGACCCATTAAGTGCGGGTGGGCCATTTGTGCTCTCGCATACTACCAACAAGAATGGCAATGGGTTGGCTGGCTAGCCGCAGGTACTGATCCGGATGGGGACCACAGCTCGCTCTGTGAACCGGTCAAGTCCTCATATGAGACTGAATTGTCTGCTCTTTGTTTTGCATTGACATGCGCAGTCAGCATGCAAGTGCCTTGCTTGTTTGGGTTCGATTCGACGTCAGCTGCAGCAACCGCCGCAGCTGATGCCGTCGACAAAAATGGGTCAGCGTTAGCTTCAGCTTGTGCGTCGCTCGTGCATTTGCTGCAACTGCAGGGATGCGCCCCACTCTGGCATCATATCCGTTCACATCAGGGGCATCCCCTGAATGAGTTCGTTGACGCCACAGCCAAGTTCGCTGCAAAGACGATGACCTCCTGCCATATCCCCACTTCCCTCTCTGAAGCACAGCACGATGGTACCCTGCCCTGGATCTGGCTCGCTACAGGATTGCACCCTTCCGTTCCTCGGGTTGATCAGAGTGGGATACTCCGAGATGCTGCACAGCTCCAAGGGGATGCCCATACACTTCACTCTGTGTTGCCTAGCCCTGCGGCTATGAAGGGTCAGGTCTCCTTTGATTTCCAGGCTGTAACCTACAACTGCCTGACTCTTAAGTCACAGGCGCAGCAGGAGAGCTTGGCCGAGCAATTCAACAAGCACCACAGCAGCGTCATAGGTCTGCAGGAGACCAGGACCACCCTCACAGAGCGCAAAGCCAACCGCCACTTCCATGTTATTGGAGGCCCAGCCCAAAATGGGCATCTTGGTTGCCAACTCTGGTTGGCACGGAGCAGGCCAGTCGCTTTTTGCGGCAAGACTCCCATAACATGGGACCCCACTACCTTTTGTGTGATTCTGGCCACCCCGCGGCTTTTGCTTGTGACCGCCAAGGCAGCTGACCAAACCTTTGCGTTCCTTGTGGGCCACAGTCCCACTGCCAAGGCTGGTCAAGCCGCCTGCGAACTGTTTTGGCAGCACATGCACTCAGCATTGCGGCGCATCCCGACGAACTCCATACCCCTTGTCCTTGTCGATGCCAATGCCAAAAATTTTGGGGCCCGGGGTGACCTTGATGAAATAGCAGAACCCCATCATAATCACGAAGGTTTTGCCAACCTAGTCGCAAGTCATGCCCTCACCACATCGGGGCACGTTGCACATGATGGGCAAGAATTCGTTTCTTGGACAGGCCCAGACGGACAGACAGCCTGCATTGACTATGTCCTGTGCCCTACACAGCTCGCCCAGGGCATGTGTATACTGGGACCATTGCCAGGCTTCGTTGGTTATCTCGACCATGACCACAAACCGATTGCCACCCAGATTCGATGGCAAACTTCTGGCAGTGTCCGTAGCCCCAATGCGCGCCTCAATGGTGACAGCCTCCACACAGCCGCTGGCCGACAAGCTCTCCGGCAGGCTTATCAAAACATGCCGCCAGTCCCGTGGGAGGTTTCCGTTGATGAGCATCTACGGCGCATCAATCAGCATGTCATTGACAATCTGCAGCAAGTTTGCGTTCGCTCAGGCAACAAGCCCAGAGACCGGACCACTTCCGACCACACCTGGGCACTCATTCGCGACAGACGCCATTTACGGCGAGAAGTTCACCGCACCCGTGACACCAGCCTCGCGCCGGAGTATCACACCATGCTTGGAGAACAGATCAAAGACCTCGGTCGACTCATCCGAGCTGCGGCGATCCGAAAAGCCTTTGACTCCGCGCGCGAGTCTGGAATTGACACGCTCCACAGGCTCTGCCGCAGCATCACCAAATCTGGGCGAAGATACCGCGCGCCCAGCCTCTGCCCAGCGCTGCGTGCCAAGTCGGGCCAGGTTGAAGACGATTCCTACAAGGTGCTTGGAGACCACTTTGCCGAAGCTGAGTTAGGCCAGCATTGTGCTCCGACTGAAATCGCCACCCGCGAGCCCCTGTATGAGCCACAGGACTTTTTGCTTCCAAACGCGTTCTCCGTGGCCTCACTCAGCCGTGCCTTTGCCAGCCTGACAGCCAAGCGTGCTTCCGGAGGATCTCAAATCCCTGTTGAGGCCTACAAATTCGCACCCCTCGCCGCAGCACATTGCCATGCCCCCTTACTGCTCAAATGCTTGCTGCGCCGCCAGTGCCCAATTCTCTGGCGCGGAGGGATCGCGACTGCGATCCCGAAACCCCTCAAGCCCGCAGATTCTGTCGAAGGATGGCGCAGCATCCTCTTGCTCGAGGCGGGAGCTAAAGGAATTGCGAAGGCTATTAGAAACGACCTTCTGCAGGGATATAGTCAACTCCGTCAAGCTGGCCAGAGCGGGTCCATGCCAGGACAGCCGCTTCAAGTTTCTATGGCACATGTAAGAGGCCTTGTGAAGCGAATCAAGGCGTCAGGCCAAAGCGGCGGTATCTTGTTTGTAGACGGCAGAGCAGCATTTTATTCCGTGCTTCGAGAGGCCCTCCTCGGCACAGACAGTGCGCAGCCACAGCAGTTTGTTGAAAAGCTCGCTGAGCTTGTTTTCCACACCAGGGAAAAGCAATCTGCCTTCATTCTTGCTGCGCTTGGTCCAGGGCTCTTACAACAGACCGGCGTTCCCCTTGCTGTGAGAAGATATGTTGCGGCTGGTTTGGACCGCACGTGGTTCAGTGTTGGGCAGTCGCCGCGACACGTCTATGAAACACGTTGCGGCTCTGTTCCGGGAGCACCTCTCGCTGATCTGTATTTTCAGATCATCTTCAGCCAGGTTCTTGCTAATATCTATGCGGGGCTTGATGAAAATGGGTTGATCGCAAACTGCCCTGGCACCTCAGCTTCCTCACAGCTCAGCCTGCCCATCCCCACATGGATGGATGACATCGCCGTGCCAGTACTCGCACCCAAACCCTGCCAGCTTCTTGACCGGGCTGCGCAGGCGGTACGTGTCGTCGACACTGCCATGCATGCTGCAGGGATTCGGCTTAATTTCTCGCGAGGCAAGACCGAATTCCTTGCAGTGATTGGCGGCGAGGGTAGCAGACAACTCAGACAAGAATGGTTGTGTGCCAACGGTGCGACTTTTACCGTACCCTTGGAGACCGCACCCATTACCGTACACCTTACGGGGAGCTACATCCATCTGGGGTCTGAGATTGCCTTTTCTGGCAAGGACGGTCCTGACATTTTCAGACGGCGAAGCCTTGCTCGTCGCCTCACAACTGACCTGAGCAAGCTCATGCACAACAGCTGCCTGTCGACTGAGGAAAGGCTCAACATGCTCATCGCGATGCCACTGGCCCGCTTCCGGCACGGTGCTGGACTCTGGTCCCTTGAGTTCACTCAGGACCAGCACGCCTACCAGAGTGCATATATCGAGCCCTTTCGCAAATACTTCCGTGCACTCACCGGCATCACTTCGCAAGGGCTTGATGACCACCAACTCTGCCTATGCCTTGGCATCTTAACTGCAGCTCAGATGCGCGAAGTTGACTTGACGCGCCACGTCGGATGGCTGGCAGCAGACGGTTCCTCGGTCCTCCGTGAACTCTGGCTCACATCAGGACCTTGGTTCCAAGAAGCGCAGAGGGCAGTCAAAGCCTGCAGTGCGCACCTCGGCATCCGTCCCACTACTGCATGGGAAGCACTCCTTGCCAAGCCTTGCCTTGCTAAACAGTGGGCGCGCAGCTACGCTCGGCGATGCCGCAAAATACAGCGGCAATTGCAACCCGCCGCACTGCGTCGATGGCAAACATACCATGATGCGCAGCAGCAAGGAGCATTTTTCTTGCATGTCCGGGAGCGCGCCCGCACAGTTGGCCTCTCCTGCCCTGAATGCCAATGTCACTTTGGCAACCCGGCGGCGCTGGGCTCCCATCGCAGAAAGGTGCATGGTGTGGCCGCACGAGCCACACAAGTCACATTCGGCACTCGCTGTGAGGTATGCTCTACAGAGTACTGGAGTACTCGACGCCTCCGCGAACACCTCAGGCGAAGCTCAACATGCCTCAAAGTCTGGGAAGCGGCAGACAGAGAGGTAGAGGCCCCCGCTAATGATGCTGGACATGAATGGCTGCCCTCAGCCAAAGCTTGCGGGCCCAGACCATGGTGGGCAACCTTGCAGCCTGAAGACCCACCAGAGCCAAGCCCACAAGCAGCCCTACCCAGTGCTGCGATTTTTGCCAAATGGCTCGGAGGCGAGAGCTCCAAGATTTCAGCCAGCCAACTGCTGGATCTTGTCGAGAAGGGAATACGATTTCGACTCACTGATGACGATCTCCCCCTCGCCTCTCTTCACATGCCAGCTGCCACATATAGCCTCGTCCAGCATGCAATGTGGGCAGCGCAAACGATTCTCGCGCAGAGCGCAGGATCGCAGGAGGATTCCTTCTGGCGCGTTTCGGTACAGGGAATGCGCGTCATTTTCTGGCCGAACGGTGTGCGCACCGCGGCCACAAACTGGTCGGAGCTCCCCACGGAGTGGGCCTTTGACTAGTCAGACCTTTGCAAGACTGTGTGCACTCTACGAGTTCAGCCAGCATGCCCAAAAAAACCCTAAACCGTTGGGTTCTGAGACCGCAAGAAAGCTCGGCGGGCGAACCCCTTCGCCGGCAGCACAACCGGCGGGCCTCGGAACTTCGCAGTGGCCCAGTGCGGGTCTGGACTTTCAGCTTTAGGGTTTAGGGCTTAGGGTTTAGGGTTTAGGGTTTGGGTTTAGGGTTTGGGTTTGGGGTTTAGGGTTTAGGGTTTGGGTTCTGGGTTTAGGGTTTAGGTCTACAATTTCGACATTTCGCGTTGAGCCCGTTGAGGGTTCACTGCTCTGCACCGGGTTGGCACTCATGCACTTGCTGTTGACAGCATAGTCGCACCACAGTCAGTGCAGTAGGCCCCATATGGAGGTCAGAACGATTACCCATGCAAGTCCTTAAGATTCCTTCCTATAGTATACTAGAACTTGCCCCAAAAACCTATTCTAACTATTAAGGCCCTTGTATTGGAGTCTGGGGCATGTCCCTAAGTCATCTTCTCGGGCAACAAGTTTACGAACCCGCTGAAAGTGACAATCCCACCCTAAACCCTGAGAATGGTTAGAGTAAACCCAACCTCGTGGTCCCCAATCTCAAACTTGACATGAATTCCTTTGAGCTCAGACCGCGGCGTGCGGTTTGCGACAGCATCCGAGCACTAAGAGGACTCTCCATCCTGCTTCCGAATGCAGCTGGCAAGGGTTTACCGCGCCGGCCGACAGTTCGACCCACTAGCTTGAACAACGAAGTCGACCCCCCTCTAGACTCCTGACGAGTGTTGGGGCCTCCGCTGCAATGAATAAGTATTCCCGACACTAAGTGAGCTTGGGACCTCCTCCGCAATCCGCAATGAATAAGTATTCCTGACACGAAGTGAGCTTTGGGGCCTCCTCCACAATGAATAGGTATCATAGCTTTATACGGCGTAGCAATTACTCCGCTAGCCGGCGTAGGGCATTCATGACTTTCGAGGGCTCCGCTACTCCGCATGAGTATCAAACATGATAAACGGCCAGGTAGCTCAAAACTTTCGGCCTCGGGGTGTAGGGTGTGACGGGTCTTGTTTTCACCTTAAACTCTAAACGGGAAAAGTTTGGGGCTATCAAGGCCAACCGACGGAAGCTACTGAGGTTTACGGCACTGGCCCAGTGGCTCGAAATCGCCCATAAAAATTCAGCCACCGATATCTCCACCTGAAGGTTTCAGGGGAGCACGTCTTCCTCCAGCACTCACCAGTCTGAACGCTTCGAAACTGCTTGAGGTGTAGGGTTTTCAGCCTACACGGAGCGATTGACAGAATGAGGGTCCCATGACTCAAGACCCAGACCCCTTGGAGGATCTAGAAAGTAGATCCCCTAATTTGGGGCCCTATACTAAGGGTACTTTCTTGGAACCCCCATTAAGGGATCTACCCGGGGGTCTGGGGAGGTCCCTGTCCATCCATTAGAGCTATCTTCCTCCTGCGACTCCTCTCAAAGCTCATCTACAACCCCGTTTTGCTCTTCAGAAACCCCGAAAAAACTCCAAGCCTTGTAGCAAACGCGAAGCCTAAATCCGGCACTCTGAAGCCTATCAGGATCTCAGGGAGAGAACTTCAAAACTCCGGGAGTGGGGGTATGTGACCTTTGGCACCGCTATAAGGGACCTTAAGGGATTATCTTTAAGATCCATTCCCCCCAATTCCCAGCCCTAACCCCTAAACCCAAAACCCGACATCCTAACTAAGAACCAGAGACAAGAGCCAGGCCACCTCCACACCGTCCGGCCAGGCAGTGCCGGTGCCGACCTTCGCGTTGCGGCTTTGCTAGGCTTCCAAGAGGTTCTGTATGGGATCTTGCGGGAGTTGCAAGGGATCTACCGCGTTTTGCAAGGGATCCATACGGTTTTGGGGTTTAAGGTTGAGGGTTTAGTGTGTTGTTTAACTGTTCTGTCAAGCTTCTGCAAGGTTAGCTTTAGGGTCTCTATGGATGTTTTACTGAGGCTTTGGTTTAGTCAGGGTTGTGTAAGGACTTCACTCAGGTCTCTATGGGTTGCTAGAAAAGGTCCGAAAGGCTTATATGAGGGTCTGGGCTCTTGTGGTTTCGTTACTGTTGTAGTTTCCCAGACCCCGGGAGGATCCAAAAAGTAGATCTCTTAATGGGGGTTCCTATAGTCCTATAGAGTACCCGTGGGCCCTTGGTAGTACAGGGCCCCAAATCAGGGGATCTACTTTCCAGATCCTCCCGGGGGTCTGAGTTACCGTTTAGGATTCTAGTGTCCAGGGCACGGCCTTCAGTCCAATGCCAAGCGGTGTTTAGGGCTTTAGCGGCTTTGTGGCTGCTTAGAGTTTAGGGTTTACGGTCTAGGGTTAAGGATTTAGGATGCTGGGTTTAGGGTGTAGGATTTAGTTTAGGGTTTAGGGTGTGAGGTTCGGGGTTTAGAGTTTTGGCGTCTTGGGTTTTAGGCTTCAGTTGTTGGGGTCTCCACCGCAAATCAGATCAAGTGCAGGAAGGAGACTTTCTCCGCAAGTTCCTGCAAAAACGAAGCCTGAAAACAGCAAGAACCGTTACACTGTTACACTTCTCGTCTTTGCTGCTGTCTTGTGTAGCAGGTTAGCCAGTCATACATGCGGTCGTACTGTTTCTTCCATCAGCAATACGACAGCGACTTAATGCAACTGCACCGTTCTCATGCTGCCCGCACGGTGAATACAACAATAAAGCAGCAAACCTAATCTTAGAGATTAAACCCAAGACTGGCAGCCTCAAACCCCGAAACCTGAACTCTAAACCCTAACAAATCCCTGCTGCCCGCAACCCCCGAAGCCCTAAACACCTAAGCCCCTCCGTCCTAAACCCAAAAACCCAAACCCTAAACCCTTAACCCGAAAAATCCCTACTCTCCCATCCTTGCTCGGCCCCCGAGCAGCCCCGGCGTGACCCGGATGCGGGGCGACGACTGGCCTAGTCTTTCGACCGCGGTTTACCAGAAGGCGCGGAAGACATAGGGTGCTGCTTTCGGCTGCTAAGTGGAGCCCTCAGCTACTAAAGTAGGCCCCAAGGATGCAAACAACTTGCCCGGTTAATCCTAGGTTCTACGGTTTAGGGCTCTTGAATATTTGCAATGCGGTGAAAAGCAATCCTAGTCCTAGTCCGAGACTGGAGTCTCCGACCGTTCCGGGATTAGTTTGTGATTGACGACGTCAGGGCCTCTTCTCGAGGTTTCAGGGCCTGAGCTTCTGGCAGAAGGCTTCAGGGTTAAAGGTTAACCTTGTAAGGCTTTCGGGTTCGGGTGAACAGGTAAGAAGTAAAGATTGACCACTCCCAACCCGTAATAGAGGGGCCTAGACAATTACCAATACTCTTTTGGGTGTTCCTTACGAAAGTGCTTGCATAGAGAGCCCCAAAACCCTATTCTAATGATCAAGGCCCCTATATTAAACCCTTGGACCTTTATTAAGGCTCCGGTCTGAATAATACTATTCTGGGGTTATAGGCCCAGGGTTTCTTAATCAGGTTCCTGCACTAACCAGTTCATGCTCAAAAGCCTAGACCTAAGAGTAGCCGAGGGAAAGGGGGTTATAAGGGAACCTAAACCCTGAGAAAGGGAATAAGGGCCTACTCTGGGTCCTTCAGGCTTCTGAGCTCTGCGGTGAACGCCAACTCCGCTCTTTGGATATCGGATCAAGGTCTGAATCATCAGTCACTACATCGTCTCTTAAAGCCCCTTGGTAAGAGGATGTACGATAATATACCCCAAACTTCCTGGCATCCTTCAAAACCTATATGTTTGATTGAGTTCTTGTGGCGGAAGTTGAAGCTATGGGGGGGGGGGGGAACCCTAAACCCTAGGGGCTGGTAAACCCTGATGCAAAGGCACGAAAGCCCCCCTTCGCGCGGGGCCCTCACGGCTCGTGCTGACAAACGTCCGCGCTAGGCGTGGCTCCGCCTGCTTGGGCTTTTGGAATACAATACTTACACTGTTATTCCACACTCCACCGCACTACACTAAACTGCACTACACCATACTACGTTACACCACACTACGCTACACTACCTAACACCAACTAGACTAGACTCCACTCCACTACATTTGTGTATACGATAATATACTCTACCATAGTATACCCTACAGTGCGAAACCATACTATACTGTACTACACCACGACATTAGTCCGCCATGTCTCCTTTCGGCCAGATTTCAGGATAGACCCGAAACCCAGCTCGTGGATCTTGAGCCCGTGGGCACAACGAAGGAACCTCGACTATGGGAATTATGGTATATTCCTTATTATAGATAATGCAGGATTTATATCACCAACCGAAGGACCATAGACTGGGGGATTAGGGTTTGGGGTTTCAAGTCCCTAACGCTTCAGCCCATATCCCGACCACCAACTTACCTCCAGGCTTATGGCGTAGACAGATTCAGCACTTAGGGTTCACGGCTTTAGGGGTTGGGGTGTAAGGTTTTGGGTTAAGGGTTTAGACACGCAGGACAAAAGCGCACGAAGATACACGAAACGTGCTACCTGACCCATCGAAACCCCAGTCGCAGTTGCGAACCCCTAAATGCCTAACCCTAAACTCCAAACCCCAAATCGTTAAACCCTCATACCCGAAACCCCTAAACCTAAACCCTAGACCCCGAAATCCTGAAACCCTCAACCCAGACCGCTTTTGGAGGATCCAAAAACTAGATCCCGTAGTGGGGGTTCCTATAAACCACCCTAAGGAGTATAGGGCCCCAAATTACGGGGTCTTATAGATCCCTAAACCCTAACCCCTAAACCCTAAAGGATCCCTTAAAGGAGCCCTTTAAGGAACCCTACTAAGTCCCATGATCCTCCCGGAATTCTGGGAAAAAAACAGCAGAGGACCGGCCTTGACCGGTCCCGCCGGTGAGGGCGAGCGCACGATCCTCGTCGGAGATGCTGCCAAGGTGGTCCTGGGCTCAAAACACAAGGGGTGCTCATCCAAAAGAAATAACAGCAGTAGTAACAATAAGAATAAGAACACAAGGGGTGCTCATTCAAAAGAAACAACAACAGTAGTACAAAACGAATAAGAACCACAACCATTAGTAAATCGGTGTTTATTACTCTTAACATTAGTATCACTGTCATTATGATTATGATTTATGACTATGGAAGGCTTAGGGGGCGTATGTTTTTGGGATTACAATGTCCAGTGTTTTATCGTGCTCCAGGATTGCAGTGTCTGGGCACTGTTGAGGGCTCCGAGGGCTCAGGCAGTACAGGGTTTTGCACATGAGAACATGTCCTCGTTGTTGGCCTTTCTTAATAAGGATGAGGTTGTTGTCGTGGTTCAAATTACCCTTGTGGCTCGCAGCAGTAGGATGAGCAGGCTACGTGCTAATACTACGCGCTAAACATAAGCGGAAGTAAACTAACATCATCGCAGTCGCCAGCTGATCGAATTATGGCAAGTCCTGTTCGGGTTCTTCGTACCATGGCAAACCCTAAACCCTAAACCATAAACCCTAAACCCTAAACCCATGTGGTTATTGGTTTTGTACTGTCCTAAAACGTCCTTCGGGTCCGATCACCGGCGCCCCGAAGCAGATCACATTGCTGAAAGTACCTTAAACTAAGGTGACCTACTAGTTACTAGTACTTTTTGTAGATTTATGCTCCGCCCCGGTACAGAGCCAGTATCGAGTCTATAGGTACCTTGCAAAAAAACAGGTTGCGGTAGGTTCAAGCAAACACGAACTCCAAGCCCGGATGCCTTGTCGGCGACGCCAGCGCCGCTGCCGATGCGGAACCCCGCATCGCGAAAGGAGGCGTAGGCGCTCCCGGAGTGCTGCCTTCGCTTCAGTAAACATACGCTGCAATGTTCTATGATATTTAGTCATGTACACATTCTTACACTATGTTGGATATAAAAGAATGCGGTACATTCTATTTTGTTGCTTGAATACACCTGTGCCTGCATTCAATGTGCTGCATGACCGAAGACTCTAATCTTATACATATACGTATGTACAAGGAATTAGATGCATGTGCGCAGCGTAACCATGGACAGATAGATGGACAGCCACAGAGATAGATAGATAGATGCTACATTGTCTGCAAGCAGGCATGCGCACATCTACATATACATACATACATATACACATATACACATATACACATGTACACATGTACACATGTACATAGATACACAGATACAGAGATACACAGATACAGGGATACATAGATACATATATACATATACACACATATACATATGTACATATACACATAAATATATATACATACAAATATACAAATACAAATATACAAATATACATATATACATATATACATATATACATATATACATATATACATATATACATATATACATATGTACATATATACATGTATATGTACATGTACATGTACCTGTACCCATACATGTACAGATACATATACAACACGTTCACATACACATAGAGTAGGCTACAGAGACTATAGATCGTGGACCATAGACTCGATAGGCACAGACTCATTGACAAACATTAGACCCGGACATAGACACACATAGACCTGCATGCGTGAATGCATGCATGAATAAGTGCATATTTTCATGAATGCGGGTAGGTCTGTATGTACGTATGTGTCTGTGTATGTATGAATGTATGGATGTATGTCCAATGTATGTCCTTGCTGGTTGTACCTATTGCTCATTCCTATTCAGGTCGCTCTTGGGGCGAGGGTCTCATGGGCGAGAGGACTTTCTGTTAGGGTTTTAAAGGAAAAGCGTTTAGAAGGGCTTTTGGCCTTAGGATTTCGGATTTAGGGCACCTCAAAAAGCACACGGGCTCGCTGTCTGTCTTCTGCCCAGCAGTTCGGGCTCACTCAGTCCAAGATCCACGGTTGTTGTAGGTTTAGGGTTTAGGGCCGTTTAGGGTCTAGGACTCCTCAAGCACGAGGAAAACGAGGGTCCCAAGGTCTGTGAACACTGAAGCCTGACAACTTCCCTGAATCAAGAGCAAGAGTGTTCCGTGTAGTCCCTACATAAATGCCATACTATGATACGTCCCAAAACGCTACTCTAGCTATGAAAGCCCCTCCTAAACCCTAAACCCCACAACCCCTGAAGCTACCGCAACCTCGCTCTCTGAGGCAGCTGCCACCCTTCCATGTGACTGAGCGGTTGAGCAAGGTGACCGGCTCAGCCTCACTTAGACCAGGGTTCAGGTTTTACGGTTCAAGGCTTCGCGGCTTTGGGTTTCAGGTTTGGGGTTTTGGCGGGGTTCAGGTGGTTTGGGGTTTGGGGATATGGGAGTTTAGGGGCTTAGGGGTTTATGTGGAGGGGGGCCATGGATCTACAGACTCAGGGAGGTGGGCTGGGGCTTTCTAGGATCCACCGACGTCGTCCTGTCATGGGAAGCATAGGGTTTTTTGCCTCCGGAGTTTGGGCTTTAGGGTTTTATGGCCTAGGATTTAAGGTCTAAGGTTTAGGGTGTAGGATTTGCTTTAGGGATCCGGGGACTGCTTTGACAGGGGACCGTCCATCCCCGAATAAGTCTGCACGACCTAAGCCACCCAAACCCGTTGAACCCTTGAACCTCCAACCCTAAACCCTAAACTCTTGAACCTCCAATCCTACCCAATGCCCACAAGTCAAACTCTTGAACCTCCAATCCTACCCTATGCCCACAAGTCAATTACACCAACTCTAAATTCCTAAACCCTGAGACACCCAACCATGAGTCCCAAACAAAGCGTGCAACCTGAAAAGCCCTCAACTAAAGACTCCTCAAAGACCCAAATTTCGAAACCCTTCTAACGTAGGAACCTGGAGAAGAAACCCTAGGCCTATAACCCCAAAGTAGTGGGATTCATGTAAGGAACCCAACAAAATGCCCAAGGTTTCTTAATCCCGTGCCTACATTATTTCAAGCCCCTACAACCCCTGAAACTCCAAACCCTTGCGAGCACCTTGAACCACTAGGATACCCAGTAACCTAAGAATAAAAAGGCCTCTCTTTTTTTGTATTGGGTAACTTTATAAGGAACTTAGGACTACAAGAAGGGAATAAGGGTACTACTGGGCATCCTAGACCACCGACCCAACACCGAAAATCTGCAACAAAGCCCCGGTCACCCCGAAATGCTCCTGGGTCCGAGACTGGCAACCCGGTCGGTCGGCTGGCACCCAAAGCAACCGTCCCTGTCGTTTCGGGCTTCTGGTCTGAAAAGGCTAGAAAAGGGAGGTTGATTACAAAGAGCGCCTAGTGCAAACGACTATTTCAAGGGGTACTGTAACGGACATCCATGGTTTTATTTAAGAGTTGTTGGATTCTTTTTGAGGTGCGATGAAGCGATGTAGGGATTTGGTGTTTCTGTTGGCTTTAGAGCCGCTTGTGGCTTGGAGGACGGATTGGATTCTGAAATTGTAGGGTTGATGTTGAATTTTGAGGTTTGGATGTTTTGCCTTGCTTCGGGATGCACGTACAATCCGGGCATTAATGATCAGGGTTTTGGGGTCTATGATACTACCTACGGCTAGAATGGCTAGAATAAGGAAAAGGAACCCCAAGATAGTATTGGAAAATTATTTCGGCACCTATATTGCCGGACCCAAAAACGGTCCGCGCCTGCGGGGCTGGGTGACCGCACTCGCAGCTGAGAGGCGACCTGGTCCATCGCTCGGTACATGGGAGTTTCCGAAAATTAGGGTTACCTTATTTTGGGGCATCTCGATCTTATGGTATCTCTGATGCTTCTTTGTCTTCAAAAACAAAGAGCAAGCGAGAGAGACAACCGCCAGAGACACAAAGAGAATTGGAGGCGGAAAGAGATATAGACCAAGAGATAGACGGACAGGCAGAAGTTCAGTAAAGCCACGGCAAGTTCATTACAGACACAAGCAGCTTGGGACGGATGGACGGCCTCGACAGGGTGGTGAACAGACAGCAGAGACACGGGCACACGTGCTTGTCCGACACAAACTCGCCCATTACTGCCACACCCGGCAGTGTTTGCGCCTCTGCTTCCGGCGGGGGCAACGGTGGTGAGGGCATGGCAGGGTGCGGCCAGTGTCAGGCTTGCGGCATGCTTGCGGCTTCGCCGCACACACTGCCAGACTGAATCGGGAGCTGCGCAACTCCCAAACTCAAACTACCTGGTTTTGCAGAATCTGGGTCCTCAGTACCACAGCTCAACATGCAGCTCAAGTCAGAAACGTGTGCGCTTGGAGGCCTGGCAGCCCTTGGAGGCCTCAGAGGTCTGGCGCACAGTGGGAATGATGTAGGGGCCCAAATAATTAGAATAAGACTTTGGGGTATATTATTGTCTATTTATAATTGGGTAAACCCTACGTCGTGAATCCGATACCCTAAACCCTAAAAATCTAAACCCTCAACCCTAGACCCTAAACACATCAAAGCCCTGAAGCCGTGGAACAGCTTTAAACCTTGCATAAAACCTTAAAGCCCTACATAAACCTACAAAGCCCTACATAAAACCAGGGAAACCTAAACCCTAAACCCTCTATCCTAAAACCCTAAGAAACCAAGAAAACCGTTTAACCTTAAAGCTCTATGCCGCAGCGAGCGGTTGTTCACCCACCAAGGCGATGCTGGGAGCCAGGCGGAGCGACGGAAGGACATCAGGGGTTTTGGGGTTTAGGGCTTCAGGGTTTTAGGATTCTAGGATTTAGGGTTTAGGCCACTAGGGTTTCAGGATTTTAGGATTTAGGGGTTTTGGGGTTTAGGGGTTTAGGGTTTTAGGGTTTTAGGATTTAGAGTTTAGGCCTTTAGGGTTTTAGGATTTTAGGGTTTTAGGATTTAGGGTTTTGGGGTTTAGTGCTTTAGGGCCTGAGGTCTTAGGGACTTTGTCCTGAGATTCTTGCGGTGTAGGGTCAAGGGTCGAGGGTTTGGGACTTCGGATTTCAGGGTTTAGGGTTTAGGGCTTCAGGGTTTAGGCTTCGGTTCAGTTAGGGCCACATCAGCAGAAAGTAGTGGAATCATATCTCCAGCTGGTGTGAAGGGCTTTTGGGTTTCCAGGGTAGCTTCAAAGTTAGGGCCGTCCACATGCAAAAGCCCCCAGGATCTCACGGCACCCCAGAATACACTTAATACACCCCTAACCCCCCCAACCCGAAACCTCCAAACCCCGAAACCGTCAACCTGAAACGCCCAAGCCTAAACCCTAGAGCCTCCCCGCCCTACCTTAGACCCTTAACCAAAATAACCCCTAAACCCTAAACCCCTAAACCCTAAACCCCTAAACCCTAAACCCAAACCCACAACCTAACTGGGCTCACAGAGACTCGAGGGGCGGAAGAACCTGCGACTCGGAACCTCGGAAAAAGCCGGTTTTGAAGAGGGTTTAGGGTTTAGGCGCAGTAGAGTTTAGGGTTCTTGTTTAGAGGATGTGTTCAGATAGGGCTGTAAGGTTTCCGGGTTTTAAGACTTGGGTTTCTGGTTCAGGGTTTAAGGCTTTAGGGTTTTGGGGCTTCAGGGTTAGGCTTCACGGTTCAGGGCTTTAGGATTTACGACTCCCCATTATGGGAGCTGAACTTTAAATTCACAAGCCCTAACAAACACCCAGACGTTCCTATGATGGTAGATTCCACCTAAATGCCCCAAAGAGGAGCCCTGAACCCCAAACCCTAGACCTTAAACCCTAAACCCGAAACCCTAAACCCCTAAATCCGAAACCCTAAACCCCTAAATCCGAAACCCTAAACCCTGAACCTTAAACCCTAAACCCTGAACCTTAAACCCTAAACCCTAAACCCCTCTAAGCCGGCCTGGACCTCGACTCCCAAGCCCTCGACCCAAGAGGGTACAGGTTTAGGGGGCTTAATAGTTTTTTATTTTTTTTGCGGGCCCTTTTCCGACTGCATTACCAGAAGGAATAATAGTTTTAGGGTTTAGGGTTTACGGTTTTGGATTTATGGGGCTTAAGCTTGCGTTTGGTTAGTAGGGAATGGAAGAATGGTAGTACTAGTAGTTATAATTGTATTCTCTACTAACCAAAGGTAAATATAGTGAACCCCAGAAAGTTGGAACATGGATTTGGGATGATTTGTGCTAGGATTCCCTCTACTTTACCTTAAGGGCATGAGGATAATGGTGTTCCAACCTGCTGGCCTTTACTGTAAGGTTCTTAGAGTTTTGTGTTAATGGGTTTAGTGTCTAGGGTTTCGTGTCTAGTTACCCCAAAACCTTCATCTCCAAGCTTTTTGCAAGACATTTAACCATGGACCCTCAACCCTAAAGCCTTCAAAACTTCAAAATTTGCCCTGAAGGCCCCTCGTGAATTCAAGAAAGTTGGAGCATGTATGAGTAGTGCTCGGCTTCCCTTAAGAGTGTGAAGACCTTCGATGTTCCAACCTATTGGGCAGCTGCCGTGAATCCTCGCACCCCAAAAACCAAATCCTGCCTCAGACCCTCCTACATCCTCAAACCCTGGACCCTTAAACCCTATAATGTTGACATTAGATTCGAACATGAAACCCTCAACTCCACCCCCTGCACCCTCCCACAACCCGAATCAAGCCTTTAACAAACATTAGACAACCATCAACCCCGTGAAGAAAGCCGCACAACTTTTTGGCAAAGCGCCCATGAAGCCCCTACAAGGCCCTCTCAAAGCCGTGATCAAACAAAAGCCTCACAATAATGAAACGCGGATCCAGGCTCCCCGCCTACCTCCCCGCCATTGATCGCCTCCATAGCCGCCACCGCGGCCGCGGCGGCGCCGGCGGGCAGTGGATGACGACCACTCGCCTCGGACTCTTCATGGGCTTAGGGTTTAGGGTTCAGAGGGTTCTATAAGCAGGTTAGGCTGTTGTGCTCTGAGCAGGTTAGGTTTAGGGTACAAGGATTAGGGCTTAAGATATGAAACGCTGAAGGTTTGGGGTTTATGGCAGAGGGCTTAGGGTTTTGACAGTTGTGTTCGCGCTGAAGGTGGGGATTGGGGATCGATGGTTTCTGCTTGTGAACTGTTTTCGTGAAGACGTTGAAAAAGAAAACATAATTCACAATGTTTCTATAAAAACAATTAGGGCATCGGATTCTTGTTTAGGCAATCTACTGCTGAGTTACCACTATAGAGATCACTGTAAAGAAGTATGGTTTCCTTGTTCTGGTAACTTAACCCCTAAGCCCAAGCTTAGAGGAACCTTAAAAAAGGAACCCTGAACTACGGTAACTTAAACGGGACTCCTTAAGAAAGTCTCAGTTTCAGGGTCTGGGGTTCAACCCGTACCTGCAGCGTGGAGAACTCAGCTGGGTGCAGGCCTTGAGCGCTTGGGGCTTCAGGGGTTTAGGGGTTTGGGGTTTAGGGTTTAGGGGTTTGGGGTTTAGGGGTTTAGGGTTTAGGGTTTAGGGTTTAGGGCTTAGGATTCAAGGCTAGGGTTTAGGGTTGAAGGTTCAGGATGTTCAGGTTTGAGCACCTGCAGGGTTTCGGGTTTATCGTTGACGGTTTGGGTCTTGGGGTGTAAGGCCTAGGGACCTGTGCCAGCGAAAATCCAAACCTAGGAAAAGCCGCGCCCTCTGTGCTTTCTAGCCTGTTAGTATCAACCCTCAACCGCTGAAACTCTGCCCAAGACGCTAAACCTTCACCCCCCCTTTCAAACCAAAACTCTATGCCCTAAATGCTAAGCAAAGAAGTCCCAAACCCAAGAACAGGTGTCCCGGCCGGCAGGACGGAAGTAGCTCTTGTCTTCTCAGATCCTTTCGTGTTTGGATTTGCTGTTGAAGGCTTAGGGTTTTAGGGTGTAGGCTTGGCTTAGGGTTAACTTCGTCAAAGGCTCTCGTGGATCGTGGATAGAAACTTCACGGCTCAAGCTTGGGGATACGAAAGCTCGGAGACTTTTCACAGACGAGTCGCTGTGTTGGGAGTGGTTTTAGCCTTCCGTATTCCAACCCGTGAGTATAAACGTAAAAATCACCTGGATCTCCGCGCGTGTGTATCGGGGAAAGGGGTGGAATATAGAGGCCTCCTTTTTTTGGAATAGGGTTTTGGGGCCCATTTATGCTATACTTCTAATAAGGAACTCCCAAAAATAGTATTGGTAATTATTTAGGCCCCGATTCTAAACCCTTTTCTTTCGCCCTTATAGTAACCATCATAGACCCTTCATAAGACCCCTTTACAGGAACCCTTTTCTAATTATTTAGGCCCCCTATATAGTATGGTCATGAGGACCAAGAAACCAGAGAAATTCAGACCGCGTACTCGGGTTGACGCCCACAAGCGATGGCTCAAGATTACAAGAATCATAAGGACTGTTTGGGGGGGTAGGGGGCCTTGATACCGATGATAAGGACTTAATAAGGCCTATTTAAGGAAGTATAGTGCATGTTTGCTAAACGTGGACGCAAGCACTTTCATCAAGACATATATTACGCATATGTGACCAAATATACTGAAAAACGACATAGTCTGCTGTACTTGCTGTATGCCATACTGCAGTATGCATGCATTGTCACGGTATAGAATATATAACAAGACTTTCCCCACCATGCGGGGACACGGCTTTGCGCTCCACTGTGGTCGAGTTAAGTAGGGACTGGCGCTTCCGCTGGCCAGGGCCCTCCCCCATAATCCTAAAACGAATGCTGCTCAACCCTAAACCCCCAAGCCTGAACTGCTTGAACCCCAGACCTACAGACTACAATGACTACATCAAAACAGAGAATCCTAAACTAGCATGAGCCAACAGTAATAGCCCTGAGCCGCGAGCTGCTCCTTTTGACCCACGGCCTTTCAACCTCAACCCCTAAAACTAGAACACCCATCGCTAAAACCCTGGAGCCCTGGAACCCTGAAACCCTAAAAGCCTCAAACCCTCAAAACCCCCAACCCCCCGAAACGCTACACCCGAAATCTCGAAAGCCTTGAAACTAGCGCATTAAGCCTCATGAAGCCCTTAACATCCTCAAGCCCAGTTCTCCGACCACCCTAGCCTCCTCGAACACAGGAAACCGGAGGCCTGAACCGCAAGCCCTAAACTTCTCCGAACCTCCAAACCCCCACAAACCGAAAGTAGATCCTCTAATTTGGGGCCCTATACTGCTAAGGGTACTTTATAGGAACCCAGGCCTCAACCGAAAACCCTGTACACACCTGCACCCTTGTACACAACCGTATACATTTATAGAGAGCCCTGAGAGAGACCCTTCTAAACCCTGACACCTAAAAACCCTGAAACCTGAAATGCACAACCTAAACCCAAAAACCTGAAACGTGAAACCTATACCCTGAAACCTAGAGCCTCCCTCCACTAAAAAACGACTGTAATTCCAGCAGCCTTGATAATTAGAATAGGGTTTGCGTGTATCGTACTATAACTATACCAAGAAGGCTTTAAGGAATAATGGCAGTATTTATCCCGACCCGTACACCCTGAACTCTAAAGAACCCGGAAAATAGACGCGTCCTTGTGTTCCGTGGCCGTCAACTTGCCCCTGGACGAAACGAAGCTTCGCTCAGAAAACTCTGAGGGCTTCTTGGGCGGCCAGAGCTTTGAGCTTGAGGCGCGTCTCTGCGGTTTTTGAATGCTTTGGTCTTTTTGAACGGGATGGGCTTTGGGGTGGAGGGCCTTGGCAACATACGGTTTCGGGCTTTGGGGAGCCGGCCCTGGGATTTCAAGAGGGTGTTGGTTTTCGGGTGTTGGGGCTCAGGGCTTTTGGGTCTAAAGGTCGCTGTTAAAGGGGGCTGTGTTGCTTCGGCTTTCAGGGTTTTCCATTTTCCGAAACGCGATAGCCCAAAGACTTGAAACCGTGAGCCCCCAAAGACGGGAACCCTCGCAAACCCGAAACTGCCACAAACTCCAAACCTACACCCCAAGAGCCCTGAGCCCCGCACACCCTCCAAAACCCTGACCCTAAAGCCCTAGCTTACACCCAAGAAAGCCCAAAGCCCTGAAGATAAAACCCTAAACCTTAAACCGTAAAGCCCTGAACTTAGCCACCAGCAATCCGCAAGACCTGAAACTCCTGGCATGTCTAGCTGATGATTAAACTGCACTCTAGACCTTAAATCCCTAACCAAACCCGCAGCTACACCTCAAGACTCAAACCCAAAGGCATCACCGTAAACCCCTAAACCCTTCACCCAAAGCTCTAAACCCTAAACCCCTGCAAGCCCCTAAAACCCTAAACCCTAAACCCTACACCCCTAAACCTCAACCCTAAACCCTAAACTCTCAACCCTAAACCCTCAACCCTAAACCCTCAACCCTAAACCCTAAACCCTAAACCCCTAAACCCTAAACCCGCTCCTGTCCCTGCATCCCTGGGACCCCAGACCTGAGCCGAAGTCGGCCGCGACTTGGAGCCTTTGGACCTCGGGTTTGGCTCACGTCATATCGACTATGCAATGTGTAACATATGTACATTTGCATATAAATAAACAAATAAATAAATATGTGTATATATAAAGAGAGAGATGGATATATATATATATATATATGTAGAAAGAGAGAGAGAGAGAGAGAGAGAGAGAGAGAGAGAGAGAGAGAGATAGAGAGAGAGAGATGTCTGTAAGTTGTATAAGATAAAAGGCTTTAAGTTGAATGAAATCCTGATGTGTGTAAACTACTGTATGATCCAAAGGTTTCTATTTATGTAATATCTATGCGTGAATACAGCATACAACAGAGTAGCACACAAAATGAAACAATATAGACTGGTGTAAAGTGATCTGATGCCGTGGCTTGGTTTTGCTCTTGCTGGCCTGCTGGGCTTGAAACCGGCAAGCCACGCCAAGCTAAGCTAAAAAAGCCAGGCACCAAGACAAAGCCAAGCCAGCCAAAACCGCATCGCCGAGCCAAGCCAGCAGAAGCCAAACCAAAAACGATGCCAAAACCAACAAAAACAACGCCAAGCCAGGCCAAGCCCTGACAGCACCTAGGGAAAAAGAAGCCCCGGGGCATATAACATAATATTAAAAAGTGCCATGTATGCAAAGAGAACATAAAAGAACAGAACAGTGCAGATTAACATGGGGCATGGTGTTCAAGGCATGAAGTATGCGCTTTCAAGCTTCTGAGGGCATGTGGCTGGCGTACTTCTAAACATTTACTGTAAATCACACTACAGGGTGTCTGTGCCAATGCTTCTCTGCGTTTGGAACGCAAATGGATCCCTTTGAAGCCGTCACGAAAGATCAAGAACTTCCGTACCTTGAACCCAAACCGTGTGAACGCAATAAAGCCTCATACCCCGTATGGAGCCCCTGTAGCCCTTATATAGAACCCTAAAGCCCTAAACCTTTTGCTGAAACCCGCTTGGGGACCCGAACACAGCGACCACGGTAAAAAAAAATGACCTCGAAGGAATCATACGATCATTATCTGTTCAGAAATCTCTCAGGAGGCCGACCCAGGTGGCTCCAGATGTCCTTGCACGGGATCCGAAGGTTCAGTGCATGATCTATAGGCACAACAGAAGCAATAAGGTACAACGAAGTACGCACAACATAATGCCATATAGTGCGATAGAACTGAATAGCAAAGTGGAAAAGAACAGAATACCAAATGTGCGCAAGTGAGGAGAAGAAGTAGTAGTAGAAGTAGCGGCACGACGAAGAAGATTAACAGAAGAAGTAGAGGGCAGCACACGAACTGACCATAAAGGAGACCTATCGACATGATCTTGAAAACGGCAATGAATAATGAAAGTGATTCTGATACTGATAGGAAGGGTTTCTGTCGGAGTGGCACTAGCAGCAATATCGAAAGTGTTACTATGTGCTTGCCCCCGGTCGTACGAACAACTCGATTACAACAGCAACAAACGACCCTAATTTCGAGAACTACTCATATGGAGCATCACGGAATCAACACTAGAGCATGTGCCCTCTGCTTCTGGGAAGTGGATGTTGTTTTGGCTCTCAAGCCAATAAGGAGCACAGCGGAACTACACGGCACTATTCAGGCTTCTCACTTGCAAAGCCTCGCCTGAGTCACGCAGCGCCCCAGAGGGTGGCGGCAGTGGCTTGCGCCCTGCGAACCATGCACGGGTCCAGTTTCGGGTTTTTAGCGCCCCAAAAAGCGCATAAGCAAAAATAAGGTTAGGGATATCCATATAAACCCCTTATAATGAAGCCCAATAAGGTAGGGATATCCCGATAGAATGCTTATGCTTATGTGCTTTTTGGGTCCCTAAGCTTTGGGCCTTAGCAAGCACGGCTGAGGGCTTTGGGAATGTGTGCTCTCCCTCTTCAGGGTCGAAGGTTGTGTAACCCCTTGCCCGAAACTGCAACTCGCCTTGGCTGAAGCCCTCTTAAGCAACTCAAATTCAATACCCTGAGCGGTAGACCCTAAACCCTGGAACAAACCAAACCCTGAGACCTAGCTGAGGGAAAATGCACGAGAGCCTGTGCTCCCCCTGGCGCTGGCCGCCCCTCTCTCCGCCACCTGCCGAAGGACCCGGAACTTTAAGGGATTCTTGCTTCTATTTGGGGGGGAAGGGGGCAGACGGAATTTTTTGGTGTGGAGGCTGACGGAGTTCAGGGCTTTTGCTTGTCGGGGTTCTCGGTCGTTTGGGGTACCGCGACTAATATCTAACGCTCATGGAGTTGCCTGCCAAAGAGACAGTTAAATGACTAACCGATGAACAACACAAAACATTTTCGTAAATGACAAACCGGCTTAGGATGAAACCTTCAGCCCCTCCCGAGCCCACACTTGCTCATGGGTTCATATCGCTGTCAAGATCTACAGGCAGTACACTAACCCCGCTTTAAGCAATCTAACTCTGATCCCTGAGCACTCTACTCAAGCCAGCAACTCGACTAGGAGTTTGCCCTTACCACAGGCTACGATGTCGGGCCCTTCAACAATACATCCTCTTGTAACTCTTGTAGCCGTTACTTAAGAATTACTAGAAGATCCCCCAAAACCCGCTTCTCATCATTGAGGCCTGTAATACAGAAACTCAAACCACTACCTATTAGAATATTCCCCAAAAGCCTCTTCTAATCATTAAGGCCCCAATACAACCGAATTTGGGAGTGCGGCTTCGGCCACTAGCCACATCCAGAAAAAAAAAAAAAAAGGCCCCAATACAGAAACCCAAACCATTACTTGCTAGAATATTCCCCTAAACCCTAAACCCGAAACCCTAAACCCCCAAACCCCTAAACCCTAAACCCTTAAACCCCTAAACCCCTAAACCCCTAAACCCCTAAACCCCTAAACCCCTAAACCCTAAACCCTAAACCCAAGCCTCTTCTAATCACTAAGGCCCCTGCCCCCAAAACTACCCTCGAGCATCGATCCTGAAGGCCAGCCTCTGGGTCCCCATGGCCTGTTACCTCCGATCCATGAAGGTAGGAGGAGGATTTAAGGCTTTTGGGGTTTAGGATTGGGGATTGCGTTTAGGGTTTAAAGTTTGCGTAAGTTTAGGGTTTGTAGGGAAACATTAAGGTTTAAGGCCTAGGATTCAGGGTTTGGGGCCACTGTGAGGCGCAACCTTGTGGGTAGAGGGGTGCAAGGTCTGCTGCGTGTCTCGGGAGTGCTGAGGGAGCACCAGAATCATCGCAGTTCCGTGTGTGATGAGTGGCTGAGGATGTCAGGCAAAACGGGAGATCAGTCAAGTTCCACTGTCTCGAAGCCTGCACTGCTCTATTCACCTCAGCCAGTGGGCCAATCTCGGAGACTCCATATCCCTCAACTACGAATCTCATCCATAAGAAAGATGACATTGTGGGTAAGACAGCCGGGAATTGAAACATCAATTAAAAAATACGATGTTCCTCCACTCCACATGTCGTGTCTGGGGGCACGGCCGAGGGCACATCTGTTGGCTGTGCACCTGGCCAAAGCTGTGAGACGTCAATTAGAAAGTACTATATGGGGGCCTGAATTAGGGTTTCGGCTTTAGGCGTCACACAGCAGGCTGTTTTGTGCAAGGTATTGCGCTTCGTTGTTTCAGAATCTAGGGTTTGGGGTTCAGAAGGGGCTGAGGGTTCGTGGCATGGCGATTGCCCACGATTCATGAACCTCTTCTGACAAACTCCAGATATCCTAAGAATTACCACGATGTTTTCCTTATTGAAGGATGGAGGTCTTGCTCAGTAAGGTGTCTACATCAGCGCTTCTGCTTCATCAGCTCGTTGCCATCGCATGTCATCTTGAAAACCAACAATGGCAAGGACATACCGTAGTAAGACCAATCACATGTTTGAAGAATACAAAACATCTAGGCCGGCGGCTACAAGCAGACATGAAAGCAATCTAAACACTGGCAGCCCAAAACTCTATTGAGCTCCTCTACCAGCCCCTCCTAACGCCCTTGTAGAACCCTTCACGGAACATTGAGTACACAGCATCCTTCTAGAATCTGTAAAGAACCCTCATGGAACCCTTATTACAGCAGGTCGATTTCGAAACCGTTATAGATCTCGTATCGAACCCTTTGTAACCAGAAGAACTCTGCATGACAACTTTTATAGACCCCTTTAGAGCAGGCCTTGTAGAAGCCTCGTAGAACCCGCATGGATAAGACATTGAAAGAATCCTTTCAAAAATGTGAAGGCCTGACGGAAACAACGACCTTGAACCCTAAACCCGGAACCCTAAACCCCTAAATCCTAAACCCTAAACCCCTAAACCTCTAAACCCTAAACCCTAAACCCGAACCCTAAACCCCTCAATCCGAAACTCTCGACCCTGGACCCTACACTAACCCCTAAACCCTACATCCTAAACCATGAACCCGAACCCCAAATGCCGCCTGAGGCCCAGCAGCGATTAGGGCGCGGTGCAGTCGCTCCGCGCTTCTCCGAGGGCCTCAGGTTTAGGGTTTAGGGTTTATGGGGCCGGGGGGTGTAATTAGAAAGGTTGTGTTTTCCATGGGTTTGTTGAAGGGTTTTGTGCTTCTCAGTGGCTCTTTTTGGGGCTTCATGTTGCTTTCAATTCGAACAAAGGGTGCGCAGCGGTCCTGCGGCTCCCGCTACAATCGCATCCCACCGGCCGCGCCGGCCGGAAGGTCGAATTCGGCTTAGATAAAGCTTAGGCTGAGGCTCTGGGAAGTACTGGGATTGAAGGGGAGCTTCGAGAATGGTGGCCCTGAGAGGCTGCATCCTATGGGTCTCTGCGCGGCCGAGTGATAGCACCAGCCATACCGTACCAGCAAAATGAAAAACAAACCACAACAAGTAGAAGTAGAGTAACAGTGCTCGCAAAACCCGTTGCAATGACTCTTGCAACGATAGTGATGTCGAAGACACAGGTGATAGGTTGTATTCCCGTGAAACGAGTGCTCGCGCTCGTGGTCGCATGGTGCTCATGATCGTTGTCAATAGCATGAGCGGAGCGACAAGAAGGAGAAGAAGATAGCCTAGGTTATGTGAGTGTTGATCAACAGGAGATGCAGTTGAAGACAACGTGGAGCAGCCCTAAACCCTAAGCCCTAAGCAAGAGTCGGCCAACACTGCAACGTCTCTGAGTCCATGTCTTGAGCGGGGCATGCATGCTTTGCGGCCCATCGCCTTGGCGACAAAAACCCGAATCTAGGCGTCGATATATTACTGGTAGTAATAATGATCCCCTTGTTGTCCCTCTATGATTATACATGATCATACCCCCAAACACCGTTAAGGCCCCTACGTGACTCCCTGACACACTAAACCCTAAAACAGGGTGATCGTAGCTTCGGGCTTGGAGTTTTGAGAGGAGTTTTAGATTTGCAGATGTATCGGGCTTACAGGTTCCAGGCTTCTAGGATCCGAGTACGTAAAGATACATCAAAAGCCCGACTTGTGGCTAGTATTGTTCTAGAAGGTTTTTGACTATAATACAGCCCCAAATTCTGAAGGTTTCTACAGTGCAGGATGTCAGGGTTGGGCGGCAGCTGATGAACAAAAAGCTGTTCCCAGAAGCATTACCGCCTTTCACCGCCACCGAAGCAAAAACGAAGACGCGCAAAACATGCTGAAAGCAAGGCTTAGGGGTGAGGGTTTGAGGGTGTGGCTTTGGGGCGTCAAACACAGGTTCTCCAAATCCCGATCAGGCAAGCGCAGACGCACATCCTGCACGTTTTTGCCGCTGCTCATGGCTTCTGGAAGCTGGGCGGTTCGAAAAGCCATCCTCGGTGCAAGAGGAATCCTAAACCTTACACCTCAAATCAGGAAACCCTAGACCCCTGCAACCGGTATTTACAAAGCCCGAAAGCTGAAGCCCCAAACCTCACGCCTGAAAGCACTGACCCGAAGCAAAAACCTCCGAACCCTCAATGGGGTTTAGGGTTTAGGGTTTCCTCTCGACTCGGCTGTGACCCTTTTTTGGTGGTTCCTTCAAAGGACCATATCAGGCGTAGGGATTTGCTGGTTTGAGGTTTAGCAGTTAACATGGTTCGAGGCGGTCGGGTCCGATCTGTCTCGGTCTTTTCTGTGGTTCCAGAAAGGCCCTTGAAGGGATGTACAAGGATTTTTGACATAAGAAGGTTCTAGAGGGGCGCTACAAGGGCTTTGCAAGGGTTCTAGAAGGCCTGAAAGTTGCTTCATATGGGCCCGAAGGGCTGTATCAGAGTCCTGGAAAGGCCACACAGGGCTTTCTCTGGGTTCTAGAAGGGCCTCACAATGGCCATTAAGGGGTTTGTAAGCGGATCTAACCGGGCGCTTTTGAGGATTTCATCAGCTTCTACAGGCGCTACGAAGGCATTCAGTACAGGCTTCATAGGGATTCTAGAAGCATCTGAATACAAGAAGGTCATCACCAGAAACGACAAAAACTTAGGATAGAAACTGGTGATGTCCTGCGAGATGCAGAACAAAGCAAGACAGGGATAACGACTCGAAGAAACACAAGCCCGATTACACACTACATTGGGGTCTGATCTAGGACTGAGAGTCCAGAATTTTCGGGTCTCGGACTTTGGCGTTTGGGCATTGGTATAAAAACAGCCACCCGACCTTCTAACAGCCCTATAAACCCGTGCGGAAGCCCAGAACCCTAGAGAACTGTCATACACTGGCTGCAACAAAACCCTAAATCCTAAACCCTCAAAGACTAAACCTAAAACCCTCAAAGAAGCCTTGAAAAACGCTCAACCCCTAAACCGTAAACCCTAAATTCTACTTGCTGCTCAGAGCTCTCTGCAAGGGCTCGGTCGTTTCCTCGCCCAGCTGCACCCAGTCATGCTTCCTGCTGAAACAGATTTGGGCGTCGGGTCTCAGGGTTTAGGGGAAGGAAGGGTTAGGGTTGTTTAGGGCTTCCTGGCGGAACAGATTCGGGATTGGGATCTCAGGGTTTAGGGTTCAGTGTATAGGGGACTAGGGAGCAAGGGTTTAAGCTTCTTTAGGTTTTGAGAGGAACAATCGGAAAAACGGCTCCTTGTCAGCGAATCGCTCGCCTCATAGATGCCGGAAGACGGTGCGAGGACCTTCGCTGGAGGCAGCCGGTCCGTCTGAATGGTGCGGTTGGAGTTGGGGTGCAGGATGTAGGACATCATGAGTCACACAGAGCATATGGCACAATCTAATCTAGCTTGTAAACAGTGAGATGATTGGTATTCTTACTAGTATTGCCACTATTTGCCATTATTACTTTTATGACAGACATGGGAGTTTCCGAGAATCGGGGACCCTAATAAAGTACCCTCAAATAGTAGGATCCTTTTTGTAAGGACCCCCACAATAGGGTACCCCAATTTTCGGAAACTCTCAAATCAAGAAACCGCCTGTGGCAGAATGTCGCGCCGAGGCTCCAAGGTCTCCACCGACGGCTTGAGGAATGGCTGGGCTTTGACCTTCCAAGGCTTTGCAGCTTGTTCATGCGATTCGGGTTTAGGACTCAGGGTTTAGGGTTCAGGGTTGGTAGGATTCTTGTTAAAAGGACCCCAAAACAAGGTCCCCCTAATTTTCGGAAACTCCCATGTTGAAGTTAAGCTACCTTCATGGCCACAACCCAAAATCCCGAGCCCTACCCGAAGGCCGAATGAACCCCGAAGCCTAACCCCCAACTCCCAACCTGCCTCTGGGAGCCAAGCAGGATCGCTGGGGTCAAAGGACTCCCCAAGAAGCAAAGGCAAGGCCAAACTCTCGGCCTGATGGGGCCCGAAAAGGAATTGGAGACGAGTGCCGGTTCGGCGGTTGGGGCTCAAGGTCTTTATGGGTTTAGCTTTTAAAGGGGTTTGGGGGTTGAAGGGTTTAGGGTTAGTGGTTGAAGGCTTCGGGTTATGGTTCGTGCAATGGCAGCGCCAGCGCATCATCACGGCAACACAGATCGAAGGGGGTCTGCATCTAGGGTTTAGGTTTTAGTGTTTTCAAATTGCTGACCTTCAAATTAACTTCAATCCGCAAAGGCGAGCGTGAGTCACAGCACGAGGCACCCAGCCTCCCAAAGCACGCAGTCCCAGAAGATCAAGACTCCTTCCCGGATCGTCAAATCCGAAAACCCTGAAACTTCAGGTGATGAAGGCCTAAGCCTCCAAAACCCTGATTATCAAATCCTTAAACCCGAAACCCCGAAACCCCGAATCCCGTAAAGCCTAAAGCACAAGATTACAGAAGCCTCTTGCGCACCCAAACTGTTCAGAAAGCGCCTTGAGCATGGCATGCTGGAGAACCGCCATCTGAAACTCTAGGAGCGGCACGGCCTCCACCCGAAACCTGGGATTCACAGGGGAACCTTGATTTGTTTGGGGTGGTAGGGCTTTATTTACCGCTTGGGGGTTGTGGGGCTTTTGGGTCTGGGGTTTAGGTTTATGGCTTCAGGGGTTTGTAGGTTTTAGTGTTTCGGGTCGAGGGTTGAGGGTTAGGGAGCTGAAACTGTATTAAGGAACCTCAAAACAATTCTTGAGGCCCCTATAGTACACGCTTCAGGAGATACTGGCACCACCCTGTAGGGAACTGGAGCACCTTGCTAGGTTTTGGTCTTGGGGGGTCCCTGCCGCAATAACCGGCCATCGAGACCAGCACCCGAAACCCTAAACAGGAGCCCAAACTCGCAAGGCAGCTCGGCCATCAGGGGCTCCAAGTGCAACACCGGCTGCCTGGAAGCGTGTGAAGAAAGGCTGGCGGGCTCCCTTCATATGGGAGTTTCCCAGATTTGGGGGTACCTTATCTTGGGGTCCTTGTAACAAGGATCCTACTATTTAGGGTACTATACTAGGGTCTCCTATTTTCGGAAACTCCCATATTGCATACTGAACTAGCAGGCTGAACAGGGCTTCGGAACATTATTGCGTACGCAAAGGTGATACAGCTTGGAAGTACTGTTAAGTGTTCAAGCCCAACGTTATCGCGGGAAGCTTGCTTAAAAGGGACCATACTGTTATAAGCAGCACAAACCCGCGTGGACAGGTCTATCACTGCTTTTGTAGGAGCGGCTCCGAAAAGCATGCATAGATAGAGGAAGAAGGTTTCGCAGTTTGCTTTGGTGTAAACATAAAGAGTCAGCAAGGGGGACACGATTACTCCTAATACGAAAGCCTTACAGTCTGTATATGGTTAGAGTGCTTTGTAGAACCTGCTTAAAGCAACCCCTACAGGAAGCAATATTTCGAACCTCATATTATACCCTCAAGGGGGACCCTAGTCCAAGACCCTATACTAACCCCTCAAGGGGACCCCATCAAAGAACCCGATACTTGCCCTTAAGGGGACACCGTCAAAGCACCCTATACCAGCCTTAAGGGGGACCCTCCTCGTAGCCCGAGCCTTGGAGGCCCCAAACGGTGGAGGAGTCGTAGGTGGCATCGGCCCGCAGCGTTGTGAGGCCACAGGTGCCCTGGGTCTTCTACATGAGGAAGTAGGGTTTGGGGTTTGTTTAAGGCTGAAGGTTTAGGCGTTTAGGGATTCGGGCGTAGGGTTCCGGGGCTTAGGAGCCAGGGAAAATTTAGTCAAGGGTCCTTGCAATGCGGATGCTACTAGTAAGATCCATCTTGACGTCCCTCATTTTCTAGCACGACGAAATTTGTACCCAAGAGATGCCTGCTGACAAAGTACGATTCCAAGAAATTACCACGAGCAGCCTGCAAGAACACACGACGTCTCCCTCAGCATAACGCCCCAAACCCGTACAAAGCCTCTGTCTGACCCTGCAAAACCTGTATAAAGTCCTTAAACACCCTCAACCCTAATGTAGAGGCCGGAACATAATCAGAAATGTTATCCCCTTCTTGTCAACAAAACCGCATCCTAAGTGTTGAGGCCGCCGTACTAAACCTCGCCCGGCAGTGTACCCATGCCGAGCATCGATCCTCGACGAGCACTACCCGGTGTCTCGCGTTGCAGAGGAGGGGAAGAAGACATCGGCCCTCGTGGTCGAAGCCTTTCTTGCTGTTTAGGATTTAGGGTTTAAGGGCTTAGGGCTTAGGTCGAAGCCTTTCTTCGGCGCTTCAGGGTTCAGAGAATGAATAAGGGGGCCTTCATACTTGCAATGGGGTTGTGCGGTATAACTACTCTAGAAAAGGACGGTCTGGGGATGTTATCATGTCTCTCGCCGACTCCGCGTGTGTGGGTTCGAAACCTGGGGGTGATCGGAGGCT